GGAGTATGTGGGATTGGGAAAGACAATCCTAACATAGGATTTAAGATGGATTAAATTACGTGCTTTTGAAAGCTAAGGGATTGTCAGCCAGGAGCACTAAGGGAAGGCTGAATTCTTTAAAGATTAACACACAAAAACTATAAAACTTGCATACTAGTATAAATGCATAAACATGTTAAAAAACTAGAATCCAAGCCAGTAGATTAAAACACATAGCAGAAAATATCATCTCATGGGTATTAAAAGTAATGTTGTCCTTCCAAAAATGTCCTACTGGCTTTCTAGATAGATAATACTTTATTCGGCTATAAGCCCACAAGGTAAAACAAATCAATAGATAAAATAGGATTTTACAATCTAAAATATCAACTAAAATATTTCAACGCATAATCTCCTTCACATTACTTACAATCTCTAGATGTACCGTGTTATGGCCTTGAAGATAAAGATGGTGCATAGAGTTTACTGGATTTTTAATAATCATGCAGCATTCCATGAAGTCTTTTATATGAAAGAACTGAAATCAGGAATCTAGCAACCTGTAATGTTCTATAAGAGTCAATGTCCTGGAGTAGATAAGCTAGATGTAATTCAGGTGGTTTAGCAGCAATTTCCAGAATGATTGAACTCAGTATCCTTGATCGGGGAACAATGTATAAGGGGCAATTAAACAAGATATGATAAAGGGATTCTATTGATTTGTTGTCACATGTGCATAAAACAGAGGTTTTACGGTTAGAGAATCTATTGCTCAGCACATTTGAGGGGAACACATTAAATCTGGCTCTAACAAATGCGAATCTATGCGACGCAGCCGATAAAGTAGACAGAAGCTTTCTAGGTAGAACATGAGACTCTACATCTCAGGGCTGTGGGTTCGAGCCCCACGTTGTGCAAAACGATTCCTGCATTGCATGGGGTTGGACTAGATGACCCCTGTGACCCTCTCCACTTCTCCAATTCTATTATACAGAGCAAATTGAATTCTGCACGCTTGATCAAGACACATGCCAACAATATGAGTCACCATACATTTAAAGCACATCCCAGACCCCAAAGAATCCTGGGAAATATGGTTAACAAATGGTGATGAAATTGTAGCTCAGGATTCTCTGCAGGCGTGAGGAGGTGCTTTATGTAAGAGTCATAGAACTGGAAGGGAGTTGGAAGAGACCCTGAGCATCATCTAGTCCAGGCATCCCCAACCTTCGGCCCTCCAGATGTTTTAGACTACAATTCCCATCATCCTTGACCACTGGTCCTGTTAGCTAGGGATCATGGGAGTTGTAGGCCAAAACATCTGGAGGGCCACAGGTTGGGGGTACCTGATCTAGTCCAACCCCCTGCAATGCAGAAAAATGCAACTGTCCCACATGGGAATCGAACCTGCAACCATGGCATTATCAGCCCCAAACCCTAACCAACTGAGCTATCCAGGCATGTAGGGTGTGTGTGTGCAGATCTGCTACCTGCTTCCAAGGAGTCAATTCCTTTGACCAGAGCAACAAAGACAGGCTACTCTATTTAAGAGAAACAATTGAACAAGCAACGTTAATCATCTTTATCCTAGTGGCATCATGCAAAACTGAACAAAAAACAACTTGCCACCCTGATCTTCAAAGTTTAAAATGCATATTTTAAGGATGTCGCTGGAATTCTAATAAATTACCCCCCACTGAAAGGGCAATTACTACTGGAGTCAGGGCTGAAATCAGGGGGCAGGAGAGAAATCAGCCATGAACTAGATAAAAAGGCTCAAGCTCAGAGGCGAGTCTGTACTTTTCCACTGGTTGAAAGCAATTGACCAGCTGCTTTGAAACTCCCAGTGCATCTGGGCTTGTGCAGTTGCCTGGTAACCTGTCATGTGATACTGAACATATATTGCATTTAAGGAGAGAGACACAGTTGCTGGCCTGGCAATCTTTGGGGACGAAGAATGTGTCAAGTATTGTATTGAAAATGCTTTGGCTTTATGCTGGATTGGCGTTAGATGCAGGTTTCGTATATTTCATTCGTCACTTTTTAAGGTCGAAGGGCTAAAAGCTTACCACCAGTCATGTGATCTGGATAAATGTAGTCTTTATTTGAATATACTCTAAGAATAAGGTGCAAAAGTATTTGTAGAAATGAAGCTAAGGTTGATTGCAGTTACCAATTCCTTATGTGATGCTCTGGAAAATCCTTAGAGACACATCAGTCGTATGCATGTCTGCTCAGAAGTGAGTTCAGTGGAATTTACTCCTAAGTATGTATACACTGGGACGCGGGTGGCGCTGTGGGTTAAACCACAGAGCCTAGGACCTGCCAATCAGAAGGTTGGCGGTTCGAATCCCTGCAATGGGGTGAGCTTCTGTTGCTCGGTCCCTCCTCCTGCCAACCTAGCAGTTCGAAAGCACGTCAAAGTGCAAGTAGATAAATAGGTACCGCTCCGGCGGGAAGGTAAACCGTGTTTCCGTGCGCTGCTCTGGTTCGCCAGAAGCGGCTTAGTCATGCTGGCCACATGACCTGGAAGCTATACGCCGGCTCCCTCGGCCAATAAAGTGAGATGAGTGCCGCAATCCCAGAGTCGGCCACGATTGGACCTAATGGTCAGGGGTCCTTTTACCTTTACCTTATGTATACACTGGATTGTAGCAAGAATGGAATCTCATCATGCCTATTCGTTAGCACATGTGCCACATGTCTTTTGGCCATGATATTCTACTTTTGTAAATTCACTCAAGTAGCTCCCACTAAACAACTTCCTATAATTGGGGGGGGGGGGAATAAATAATTCAGTTATAGCATCCTACTTTGCTTCTATCAAATGACAATGTGAACATTAATGCAGTCAGTACAGATGACAAACAAGTACTTAGTAGAAGTATGAATTTTCAAAGAAAATATTTTAATGAAGCAATTAAGAAGCATAAGCAGGAGATTACGGGAAGAAGCATGAATGGATTTATATGCAAGTTTGGGCAAGACAAAACTTTCTCTCTTCCACGAACTCTCTTATGGTTCAGACTCGAGAGCATTGTTTTAAAGCCGCCGTAGTTCAGTTAAAATGCTAACTTCCATCGGCTCCCTCTAGTGGAAAAGATACCAGTGGAAAGAATACATTAGGAAACCAATGTAGCTTAGATCTGAAGGCACTTTCACATACAGGGAAGGAGTTTTCCCCCACCAATTTTCCTTCCTTGTTCCATCCCACTATGCTTTGAGGTCAATCTTTGGGAGGGCTTTTCAGTGGACATGGAGGGTTGCCACCAGAAGGGCAGTGAAAAGAAGTCCCCTTGTACAGTACTGACAGAGGCAACCTCCTCCTAGTGTGCTTCAAAGTCTATAGATACAGAGAACAGAATGCAAGGCACCAAGTAGGATAAACTTCCTTCAGTTTGCAATTTTTGCTTAATTAAAGCAGGACAAGATTTCATTCAGCAAGATCTAACATCGTTGAGTGCATTTTTAAAAAGATGCTCTTAAGTCTGAAAACTGTTTAATTGTTTGTGTCTCTATAGAAAACTAAACTCTAGTTATCCTGCATAGTAACTTCACCTTTCTTATCATTATTTTCTAATGCCACAAACTGTCTACAGACAAAGCTTCTTTCTCAATTCCCTCCGGTTAACTAGAAATGTAAGCTGAGCAGCACAACTGTAAGGAAATTTTTTAGCATTAAATCTGAAGATCAGAGTAGTCAGTAAACCAATTTCCAAGTAAATGCATTTAGGAATGGAAAGCTGGCTTTGTTAAAACACTGTAAAAAAATCTCTCATATACTGACTGCAGTAATATTTTTTAAGAGGAAATATTTGCATTGTTTCTGTGTGGAAAGCTACTTAAAAATAAATAAATCCAGAGTAAGCATATATGACCAAGCTTTTTGTGCTTATTTTGCTTCAATCCATGGGAAGGGAAACTAAGGCCTGGGGGCCGGATCTGGCCCAATCGCCTTCTAAATCCGGCCCACGTACAGTCCGGGAATCAGTGTGCTTGAGTAGAATGTGTCCTTTTACTTAAAATGCATCTCTGGGTTATTTGTGGGGCATAGGAATTCGTTTGGGGTTTCCCAAAAAAAATCTAATCCGGCCCCCCACAAGGTCTGAGATACAGTGGACTGGCCCCCTGCTGAAAAAGTTTGCTGACCCCTGGGTAGAGCATGAGACTCCTAAATCTCACGGTCGTGGGTTTGAGCCCTATGTTGGACAAGAGATTCCTGCACTGCAAGGGGGTTGGACTAGGTGACCCTCATGGTGCCTTCCAAATCAGCAATTCTATGAATAATGATAACATTGTACTATGAGACCAGTTTGGAATTGCTTTAAATATTATAGGAATTAACTGTGGTGTCTGTTGTTTAAAGGATACAGGTACATTTTCTTCCTTCCATATACAGTCATACCTCGGGTTACAGACGCTTCAGGTTGCGTTTTTTCAGGTTACGGACCGCCGAAACGTGGAAGTACCGGAACAGTTTACTTCCGAGTTTCGGTGGTCGTGCATGTGCAGAAGTGCTAAATTGCGCTTTGCGCATGCGCAGAAGCGCCGAATCACAACCCATGTGTGCACAGACACGCCACTGCGGGTTGCGAACGTGCATCCCGCACGGATCACGTTCGCAACCCAAGCGTCCACTATACTTTATTTGAGCAATTGGTACAATATGATAAGAATTTGGCGATAGAAATCTCTTCCTTTTACTTATTTTTATCTCAACCTACAGAGCAGTTAACATTTGTTTTCATCTAAAGGAAATAAAACCACAAGGTATTTTAGCAAGATATTTGCTATCACAGCCTAAAACTCTAGGCTGTGGGGACGAGGAAGGAATGCATGAGAAAACAATTCTCCCACACATTATGAACCACAGCGTAACCAGCTCATGTATGATATAGATAAGAAGTAAGAAATATTTATAACCAGCTCATAACCTGCTCTAAGCAGCCTGACCCAGAACCATTCAAAATTCCTGGTTTTATCTGACATCTAAAATGCCAGTTACAAAAACAACAACTGTGTTCAATATGGTGTGTTTTTTTTTAAAAAAAACCTCTTTATTGCCTTGCTCTGAACAGCAAGTTAATTTTGCCTTTACAACAAAGTCATGATTTTAACTTACAAAGTCTTTGTTAACGATGCCTTTTTCCTGAAATGGAAATTTGCCTTTATAGAAATGTAAAAAATAAAAAATAAAAAACGCATCAGGTTTCATCAATATATTCCTACACAAGCTTTAACAGGAAGTCTTCAATGATAGCATATGACTTTATTTACACTTCTGGTCCTTCTCCTCCGGGAACCAGCTGAAAAGAAAGTTCACATGAGAAGATGAAGAACATAAGCATTTCATCTAGAAAAGTTACGTACAACCATTCTACCCTCTCTCAAGGATGGAGCTACAGAAACATGCCCAGCAAGATCAGTTCTCTTGGCCTGTCTGGCAGAGCCACCCCCTGACTACCCGTCTCAGGCAGCAAGATTCCTTCCACCATTTGCAGTCTGGCTCATACAACACACTAAGTCAAACAAGGTTCACACTTGGTTACAGCTCAGTTACTGGGGAGAGAACTTAGCTGCAAGCTCTGGTGCAGATGGTAATCTAGACCAAATCTTGGCAGCAAAAAGGATGAAGGAGCAGCAAGGCAGCTGTGAGCTTGCCTCTGGGGACACCCCCCCCACATTCTCACCAAGTCAGGGTTAGGCTTAGCATGTTGTGTGAAGCAGGCCATTGTATAAGACACCTTGAATTTTTTCAGCTCAAAAAAGATTATATACACATGTGTGTCTGTAAATAAATTACATTAGAATAGCTTATATTCCTTTGTTTTACATTTATTGAGACCCCCACCCAAAATAGGCCATATCTCCACCTCCCTGACTCAGAACATGCAACATCTCAGTTCTTTTTTAGGATACCACTTCAATTTTTTGGCATTTTATTGGATTCTGTTTCAGTTTCTGAATTAACCAAGCTTCCACAGTTAACTACAGTTTTGCCTAGTTAGCAGGAATTAACTAGGGGCAGAAATGTAAAAAGAATTACTTACCATTGTTATGTTATTTCCATTTAGCAAAATCTGGTCTAGCTTTGTAATTCTTCGTCCTTCAGGTGTGATCTCACTGTTGAAAACAAGACAAACAGAAAAAAGGATACAAAACTAGAAAGTTTGATGAAAACTAGCTACCTATTTTTCATTCAAGTCTTAATTATCCGATAAGAGACTGCTACTCTCCACGCCAGAGTCACCCAAATGTCCCTGAAGGGGAAAACTGGTAAGATAAATAATTGCAGCAATCCTACCTACATTGTTCTGCAATTGGCACTTTCCTAGAATAGCATGGGAAGGGAAGTTGTTGCAATTATACCCTTATACAGTAGCTAACGCGAAAAGTAAGGAATGAGTACCTCTGAAAAATGCTGCCACAGTAGACTGGGGATTTTTAGAAAGGAGCACCCCAGTGTCAGGGGGCAGGTGCCAAGAGCAGGATAATAACTCACACAGCATCAATGAAGTTAACTCTTCATTCAAAGAAACAAACAGCTCAGGAGGCCAAGCCTAGTGAACACAGCAATCTTCCCAGTAGATCTTGCCTCAATGAGGCAGTTGTGAGGACTGAAGGTCCCTGCCTTCCCACAGCTGCCTAAGTCTCTACCTCCCCTGGGTCCTTCCCAAGCAATCTGAGACTCCATTGATGTGTCTGTCTCTGCTCCACCCTCTTTATACTTCTTTGGTCCTGGGAGACCGGGGGGAGGGGAACAGGTCACAACAGGAGGGGGAGACCCCCTGGCTTCTTCAGAGGTCCACCTCATCTGCTTCTTGGCCCCCCTCCTCTCCAGCCCCGATTCTGGACTGCTCTCTACCACAGACTCTTCCTGCTCACTAAACCCTGTTACCTCTTCAACTTCCAAACCACCTCCTCCCAGTCTGCTCCCTCTTTTCCCTCTGAGCCCTTACTGTAGTCCCACTACCAATTTCTGGGCTCTGAGCCTTGGGGGTTTCCCAGCTGGTGCCTCGTACCACTAATATAATGCTCCACTCTCACCTTATGGGAATTACACTCTGCTTTTTCTGAAAACTGGTGAACAGTATTACAGCATGCCTCACAAAAGTAGCTAATATTGTCAGCCCATGTCCAAGTGTGGGAGAGGTCAAGAGAGTGAGTTCTGAAGAGTGAGTGAAAGTGAAGACAACTGTTGGTACAAGACGTGCTGAGATTGAAAGCCAGAAGCAGCCATACTTACAATTCTGTAACATCTTCCAATACCATGTCTGAAGCCTGATGTCAAGGAAAAAGTTACTACAAAAGTAGTGATTCACATTTCCCCCTACATTCATTAGATGCGTAGATATCCAAGATGACTAACAGTGTTTATATATTATCAAGGTGCAGGTCCTGTTCATTTAATACATGGCTGTCACACAAGTGCCTCAGAGCATGTACAACAGGTGCTAGGCTTGCAGCCTGGAAGAATGATGTACAACAGGGGTAGGGAACATGTGATCTTGTTGGACTCCAATTCCCATCAGTCCCATTCAGCATGGCCAATTGTGAGGGGTGATATTATCCAGCAGAATCTGCAGGATGAGGATATAATACCCCATCCATTATGTACAGTCACCATCTGTCAGTACTGCAGACACAGTATTCGCAGAAGCCCAGTGGCTGCAAATGAACTTGCACAGTTGCAGTGCAAACCACCAAATGTACGAACCTAAATGCAGATATAGTTTTATCCAATTCAAAACACCAGGACAACTCCCTTTCCAGGGGAACATTATTTTAAACAGCTGCTGGCCAAAAAAAACCCAACAACCCACACACACAACCCAAAAAGCAAACTGTCAAAAGCTTCCACATTATTTCCTGTAAAGGATACTGACAAAGTCATCAAATCCTAGGAGTGTGCCAACAATTTCTTTATCACTTTTCATCACGATGTGAATTCGTGAGCCTATGCACTTGTCCACCAGCTCTGTTAAACAGAAAAAGCATTTAATTAGCAGTTACTAATGTATGTACAAATGTATGAGCACTGTCTCTTTCTTCAAGATGTGTTTTCAGTTACCAATGATTTTAAACATGCTTCATTTACAAAACAGTCTGTATCCAAAACTAAAAGCATTCTTAATAGCAAGGGACACTAGCATATTGCATCATTAAATAAATCCAGTGGGTCAATTAAATAATCCCAAAGCTCAAAAGATGCAGTTGGGAGCTGATTATGATCATATACAAAATAAAAGGATTGCTAGAGCCTCAAATTTTAATGTGATTTCAGTTCTGAACCTTTCCTTGCTTTTCAGCAATTAGCATTCAGGAGCATTGTTGGCTGCAACCGTGGAGACAAAGCACAGCCATTGCACTTAGTAGCCTTTGCTAGGCTTATTATCCTCCGCGAATCTGTCCAATCCCCTTTAGAAGCCGTTCAAGTTGTGGGCCATCGCTGCCTCCTGCGGAAGCAAGTTCCACAGTTGAACTAACTGCGCTGCGTGGAGAAATGCTTCCTTTTATCCATCCCGAATCTTCCAACATTCAGTTTCATTGGATGCCCATGAGTTCTGGTGCCATGAGAGGGAAAGAACCCTCCTCTCCATGCGTGTAACTTTGCCCCAGGTATGTGGCCATGATGCCACACGTACAAATGCTGCACTTGCCCCCCACACCTTCTCTCATCTCCCTCATCCCCCTCTCTTCCCCATCCCATCCCACCCCTCTCCCCCACTCCATTTCCCCCTGTCCCCCACCCCATTTCCCCCTCCCCCACCCCATTTCCCCCTCTCCCCCACCCCATTTCCCCCTCCCTCAGCCCACTCCATTTCCCCCCTCTCCCCCACCCCATTTCCCCCTCCCTCAGCCCACTCCATTTCCCCCCTCTCCCCCACCCCATTTCCCCCCTCTCCCCCACCCCATTTCCCCCTCCCTCAGCCCACTCCATTTTCCCCCCTCTCCCCCACCCCATTTCCCCTCCCTCAGCCCACTCCATTTCCCCCCTCCCCCACCCCATTTCCCTCCTCTCCCCCCACCCCATTTCCCCCTCCCTCAGCCCACTCCATTTCCCCCTCCCCCACTCCATTTCCCCCCTCTCCCCACCCCATTTCCCCCTCTCCCCACCCCATTTCCCCTCCCTCAGCCCACTCCATTTCCCCCCTCTCCCCCACCCCATTTCCCCCTCCCTCAGCCCACTCCATTCCCCCCTCTCCCCCACCCCATTTCCCCCCTCTCCCCCACCCCATTTCCCCCTCCCTCAGCCCACTCCATTTCCCCCTCCCCCACCCCATTTCCCTCCTCTCCCCCACCCCATTTCCCTCCTCTCCCCCACCCCATTTCCCCCTCCCCCACCCCATTTCCCCCTCCCTCAGCCCACTCCATTTCCCTCCCCCACCCCTTTCCCCCCTCCCCACCCCACCCCATTTCCCCTGCCCCAACTCATTTCTCCCTTTTCCCACTTCATTTCCCCCCTCTCCCTCCCCCCACTTCCCCTCCGCCACCCTGCCCCAACCATTTCAACCCTCTTTCCCCACCCTACCCCATTTCCCCTCCCCACTCTTTATCCCTCTCCCCCGGCTACACCGCTCAGGGACGAGCACCCGCCATTCATTTACCAAGAGGCAGAAGCTGAGACGGGTTGGTAGTCGCGTTGGCCGCCATTTTGCCGCGAGGCCTGACTAATCGAGTTCGCCGTCCTCTTATTGCTCACTGGTTTAAAAAATAAATAAATAAATGCCGGGGGAGGCGGGCTCTTGCGTCCCCGGCCACTCATAACAGAGCCGACTGTTCTAGCTTGAACAGACTCAGCGAATCGATAAGAGAGCAATCGAACTAGGAAAGCCCTCGGAAAGGAGTCCCAGCGCAAGCCGAGGCTGAGGGGCACGTGACGACCGAGCGCTAACTTTAAAAGCTAAGCCCTAGTCTGGTTTGTTTCTTTTTTTAAAGCGTACCATGCTTTAAATCCGAAACGCATCTCCTGGGACTCTTTTTATTGCCTCCAAAGCCCTAAAGGCGGGCTGTGAGTGGTAAAGGAGAAGGCACTCTGTGCATGCTCAAGGGTATCTTTTCGCCCACCTGTTCCTAGATTGGACCCTGGTAGGGAAAACCTCGGGCGCTTGGATTTTGGCCGAAGGAGGACTCGAAAGGCCGGAGTTCTGAAAATGCTCCAAGGGTTGCATCCCTCTAAAATATGGGTTGCGTTATCCACCCGTTTTTTAAAAGTGCAGCATGTCAAAAAGATGGATTTTAGCCCGTTGTTTTGTGTTCTAACCTTGGAGATTAGTAAAGCATTCAGTACCCACCCAATTCCTGTACCTGCCCTTTCTAAATACAACAAATAGCATTTGCAATGAGAGGTTTCCCAAACAAGCTAAAAGGCCACAGGCTTTGCTATGTATGATTTATAGTCAGGGTCAAGCCTGCATTCTTGCCTGCTCCCCACTTCCACACTTAGAAGACTGCTGCGGGTCGAGCAGTCAGGCCAAAGAATGTATGTGTATATATTGTCATATGCGCTACAGCAGGCTTTCCCAAACTTGGATCTCCAGCTGTTTTTGAACTACAATGCCCACCATCCCTAACTAGCAGGACCAGGCATTATGGGAATTGTAGTCCAAAAACATCTGGAGACCCAAGTTGGGAAATCCTGCGCTAGGGTGATGACACTACAACTAGTGTAAATGAGCTCTTGTCTGGTTCTTATTTTTTTACTATGGGTACCAACTGATGCTGGTACATATCCCCCAGATATACCTATGTTGCTGGTAAATTGACAGCTTTTAATCCATAGTACCAAAGTGGACAAGTTTTCTAGTGCTCTATGTAATAATGCGTGCCTTGTAAGCAGTATCATACAACTGGCTTCTTCAAGCCACTTTCTTTCTATGCCAGTTATAGGGGCTACCTTTTAATGTAACATTAAACAAGTGTGCTGATTTTCATTGGCCAGAAGTCACATGCTCCAGTCTTGTGCCCTGGTCTGTGCTATAACCATACACTTAATGGTCCCCACCCACCAAATTTATCCACTGAGAGAGGAAAGAGAATCAGTTAACTTAATTGAAGGGAGGCAAATGATGGAAAGCAAAGCACAAGCCCAGCCTCCTAACCACCGCAACCTCTTGATTGTGTATGTGGCGAGAGAACCCACAAAGGCACTGCAGTTGTCTATAGTAGTAAGTAGTATTGGTAGTATGTAGTAATAATAATATTTTTTATATGCCGCCCATCCAACTGGGTTGCCCCAGCCATTCTGGGTAGCTTCCAGCAAATTAAAACATCAAACACAGTAAAACATCAAACATTAAAAACTTCCCTGTGCAGGGCTGCCTACAGGGATTCCCACACGACAGGGATGATGTTGCCAGCCTTCATGTCATGTTTGCAGACATCTTTGTAATGCAGAGTTGGTCAGCCAGCTCTCCAATAGGAACATGTGGACATTTTCCTATGAACATGTCCACATGTTCATTCTGTGGATATGACCAAGCCAGCATAGATGCTGCTGAGACAGGACTGCGAACATGCTGGGAATGTGGACTTGGGAGGGACTTTGTCCGAGGCTCTGTCCTGCCACGTGATACCCATAACTTTGGCCATGGTGGTAAATCTTCCCATTTCGCAAGCTGCCTTGAGCACTATGGACAAGCGGCATACAATGAAGATGACAATATTGGCCAGTGTGGCATAGTGGTTCAGACTGAGTCCCTATTCAGCCATGAAGCTCCCTGGGTGACCCTGGGCCGACCACGATCGCTCAGCCTAACCTTCCTCGCAGGGTTGCAGGAGTGCCAGCTTGGCCCTGCGACCGTGGGTCCCCGGGGCCGTGGGTGCCATGCAACGTGCATGGCCCTGGCACCGAAATCTGTGGGTGCCTTTCAGAATTCCTGGAGGAGAGGAGGGAAGTCCTAAGATTCAAAAGAATCTTGTTTTATTTGCAATGTTTTCAAGAATGTTAATTGTGTGATTTTGTAAAACCAAATAAAATTATTAAAAAAGGAAAAAAGAAATCCGTGGGTGCCTGGTCCCTTCATGGGAAATTTTGCGGCTACTCCAGGGCCCTGGCACCTATGTAGGGTTGTTGCTGCGAGGACAACAACAGGGGGAGAACCACGTGCATCCCCTCAAACTCCTTGGCAGAAAAAAAGGCGGTGTACAAATGTGATAGAGAAAGAAATGTGCAAGCCTCTGGGGCTACTTCAAGCAAACAGTCTAATTTGTCTGCGCCTAAATGATGTCGAGCATCAGAACAACTTGGCCACAATAAGGAAATTTTGCCTGTGGTATGACTATTTTCTGAAAATGCTCCAACCTTCCCATTTCGACTCTCTGGCACCCTATCTGCATAACCCAGCAAATCTAAAATATAGACACACTTTTACTCTCGCAAGATTGAATGTACAGTGGTACCTCGGGTTACAGGCGCTTCAGGTTACAGACTCCACTAACCCAGAAATAGTACCTCGGGTTAAGAACTTTACTTTAGGATGAGAACAGAAATTGTGTGGCGGCAGCGGGAGGCCCCATTAGCTAAAGTGGTTAAGAACAGTTTCAGGTTAAGAACAGACCTCCAGAACGAATTAAGTTCTTAACCAGAGGTACCACTGTATTGCCCTCAGCTGTACTCAAGGGATGGTTCCAACAGACTCCACATGAAAAACGCTTATGTCCCTGTGGAGATGGCAGTACCGAATCGGTGGCGCATGCCCTTCTGGCTTGCACTCTATATCAGAATCAGAACTTTATTAGCAAAGCCAACAGGCCACAGTCTGGCTTGCACTCTTTATAAAGACTTGAGGAATGAGGTTATCGCCCCTCTTTTATTGTCCATTCTGGTTCGCCCAACCACTGCCCCAGTGTCTTTTCTCTTGGCAGATCAGGATGAGCAGATGACAGCAAAGGTTGCAAGGTTTTTAGCCGGAGCAATCAAAATAAGGTCCACTATTTGACTGCTGATTCAGGACCCTAAAGTCCTTATATAATCGACCTTTTATTTCTGTTATTTGTATATTGTATTGTTGTTTTGCAAATAAAGATCCATTCATTCTCTCTCTTTCCTCTGGGCTCCCCGAGGTTTGGGGGGGGGGGGGTCTGGCATTCTCCGCCGGGCTGCACCTTTAAGAAACAGAGCCCTGGCCGCCGGTTGCCAGGAGGAACCATCCTGAGGTAACCGGGGAAGGCGGCGGCCGCCCTGTTTGGGCAGCTTCCCTTCGGCTCCCAGCAGCAGCAGCAGCAGCAGCCGCCGCCTCTTCCTCCACCTCCTGCCCCGGCCTCTCGCGCCCGTGAGGCGGCCGCGGCTCCCGCGCGCCATTGAGGCCTCGCCGGCAGCAGGGCCCGCTCTCCCCTCGGCGGGGCCCGGCGTTTGGCTTCCTCGGCGGCCGCTACGGGGCGTGCTCGGCGGCCAGGGAGCATGCTCAGAGGACGGGCGCCGGCGGGCTGGGGAGGCCGGCCGCGGAAGGAAGCGGCGCCCGTAGCCCGCCGGTAAACAACTTCCTCCGGCGGCGGCGGCGGCGCTGCTCCCGGGCTCCTTCATGGAGCGAAGGGGCAGCTCCAAGGGCGACCTGCACCCCCGCGGCTCCAGGGGGCCCGTGCTGCACATCGCGGTGGTCGGCTTCCACCACAAGAAGGGCTGCCAGGTGAGGAGGCGTCTCCTTCTTCCTTCTCCCCTTCCCTCTCCGTCCATTAAGCCTCGTCCCTCGAGGTTCCCCCCTTTCACGCGTCAGAATCGTAGAGTTGGAAGGGGATCCCAAGAGTCATCTAGACCGACCCCTTGCAGTGCACGGATCCTGCCCACAGCCGCCCTGCTGGGCGGGCTCCAACCACCAATTATCAGCCAGAAGGAGAACAGTTGTGGAGGTGCCTTTTCGCCTTGGGCAAGGCGAGGTTTTTGGTTATTTTAAAATCGCTCGGCCTATTTATTTATTTTGTGAATAATTTGCACACCGCTTGATGGTCCCCCCCCCCAAAAAAACCCCACACATAACAACACCTCCAACGCAAAAACCCTCAAAGAGGAGGGTTTTTGTTGTTCTCCCAGGCTGGTCCTGTTTACACCTGCTTGCATGTAACACAGCCTCAAAAGGGAAATGTGCATTACAGCAGCATCCTTGATTTGATTCGACTTTGCATTTTTATGCTGCGAAGCGTCCTGAGATCATGGGATGAAGGGCGGTATGCAAATTGAACAAATAATAAAAGAAATAAATAACAACAACAACAACGACCATCCTGCAATACTTTGATTACAGGGAACGAAACAGTAGAGCGATCAGCTCCAACCTTTCAGTGAATGCTCCTTGTTGGCGGTGGAGTGCAGATTTTAGTTTACTTGTTTGAGGAAGGATAGCTACCATCAGTCTGTAACAGAGCATGAGATTCTTCATCTCAGGGTTGCAAGTTCAGGTCCCACATTGGGCGAAAGATTCTTGCATTGCAGGGAGTTGGATTAGATGGGCTTCAAGGCCCCTTCCAAATTTACAATTCTATCATTCTGTGAAATAATCCTAAACATACTTACTAGCTATAGGACTCGCCATGCAGTCCTGTGCATGGAGGCAAGTAAAATGAGGTCTGGGCTCACCTCTGTGGCGTTAGACACATATGCCGGCAGAATTATCTTTGTACTTGCTTGTGGAAGGCATTCAATAAGGGAATGGGGCAGTGAAAGGGACTTTAAAGGGTTGCCATTTGAAATGAATGCTCTTGAAAGCATGCTCTCCTGTCACAGAGCCCTCTCTGCTGCTGAAGTTAGACAAGATGAGCTTTGACCAGGGTGGATTTGATATAAATGATATTGATTTAAATTACGATTTAAATCACTAGTCAGTAATACTTGATTTAAATCACTAGTCAGTAAGACTTGATTTAAATCTCTTTTTTTACAGAAAGATTCATTCTTGCTGGTATAATCTTAATATTTACAACCAGATGAAGGTTTCATCTTTGGAATAATAAATTTTCAGAGTAGTTTTTACAGTTATATCAAAAATTACTGATTTGCTTATACTATTAGAAATACATAGACAGATAATTATGAAATTATTGTGAGGTTTAATAAGTTAACTGTTTATATTTGGACAACTTTTCTGCTGTACTTTATTGGAAGGAGAAAAATAATACTGTATTTAACAGTAACATTATAGCATATGTATCCATGTTTGTTAACTGATGTGGTTAAACGGTTTTGGTTTTTTTAAAAGAAACTTAGACTGAGTTTTAGCACACAGGAAAAACTTAAAACAATACTTTTTTTTGCACCTAAAAGTGGCCATAAAACCTGAGTAGCAAGTGAAAGAGTGTGATACTAGCTCAGCATGGCATCAGGTGAAGAGTTACTACAGAGGCTTCTTCTTTTCAGTCATAGAATATTTTATTGTCCCCCCCATTGGTTAACTTGCAATATTTAATCTGCAAATGAAAAAGTACATTTCTTGAGCTGCAATACATTTGTGACATACTGTGAGACTCAGGTATGGCCTTTTATGATGAACCACATTTCTATGGCTAAGATCCTATACCTTGGAAATAAGTGCTTTGAATTCAAGAGAGTTACTTCAGGGTAGACATGTATAGAACTTAAGTGTAATAAATATGTGTATGTGTGATTTAAGGCTGTTTCTTTTCCATGCTTTATGAATAGACTATGTCATTTTTTGTTTGACCTTGTTTAAATAATATATTGTGCTTTGTGGGTGAGGCTGTGATTACTTTGTCTGGCATCAACGGAACTTAGTTTGTAAAGAAGGAATGACTCGATTTGTCAGCTGTAGTTAATACTCCGCATTTATACACGGGAACATTTACTCAGTTAGAAAAAAGATTTTCTCAGGTTTCAGACTCAAAAGGTTGTATGTTTAGCAGAAGGTGCCAAATTTCAGGTAGATCTGAAGAGAAGTGGCAGAACAAGTTGTGAGTATTATCAGGTAAAGGTATCTGGCAACTTAGGTGTTTTAAATGCAAAATAATGATTATGAATGGACAAAGACAGAAAATGTATTGTGAAAAACATGCTGCTAAACTTCATAGTCCTGAGCACATTGACTAGGGAGTAAAATTCACTACTGAACTCAGTGGGAGTTGTTTATGGGTAAACTTGCCTGGGATTTGGTCACAGGATGGCAGATTCTTTGTGTGTGTGTATTACCGTATTTTTCGCTCTATAAGACGCACCAGACCACAAGAGGCACCTAGTTTTTGGAGGAGGAAAACAAGAAAAAATATATTCTGAATCTCAGAATCCAGAACAGCAAGAGGGATCGCTGCGCAGTGAAAGCAGCAATCCCTCTTGCTGTTCTGGCTTCTGGGATAGCTGGGCAGCCTGCATTCGCTCCATAAGACGCACACACATTTCCCCTTACTTTTTGGGAGGGAAAAAGTGAGACTTATAGAGCAAAAAATACGGTAATTCAGTTGCTACATTCCTTTTGTGTATTCTTATGTTAAGTTCACTCAGACTTGTGTAACATTCTTCCTGGTGGGCACTTAATTGACTGACGAAAGTTGGCACAGTTTGATCATGTTTTATAGACATTTCTTGGGAAACGAGTTTTCTCCCTCCTGCTTCAACAGTAAGAGTTGTTCAGCCATGGAACAGACTCCCTTGGAGGTGTTTAAGCAGAGGTTGGACGGCCATCTGTCATGTATGCTTTGAACTGAGATTCCTGCATGGCAAGGGGTTGGTCTAGGTCAGATGATCCCTTCCAGCTACACAATACAATGATTCTGTTCTGTGAACACTGTTTGTTACTCAGTGGAGACCCTTGTACTGTGTCTAAGAAGGCAGTTCTCAGAAACTGACCCCAGCACCTAACTGTTTGATGCAGCCAGCCAAGCGATGGTTGCCTTTCAGATTTGTTTGTTGTTGTTTAGTTGTTTAGTCATGTCCGACTCTTCGTGACCTCATGGACCAGAGCACGCCAGGCCCTCCTGTCTTCCACTGCCTCCCGCAGTTTGGTCAGACTCATGTTTGTAGCTTCGAGAACACTGTCCAACCATCTCGTCCTCTGTTGTCCCCTTCTCTTTGTGCCCTCCATCTTTCCCCACATCAGGGTCTTTTCCAGGGAGTCTTCTCTTCTCATGAGGTGGCCAAAGTATTGGAGCCTCAGCTTCACGATCTGTCCTTCCAGTGAGCACTCAGGGCTGATTTCCTTCAGAATGGAGAGGTTTGATCTTCTTGCAGTCCATGGGACTCTCAAGAGTCTCCTCCAGCACCATAATTCAAAAGCATCAATTCTTTGGCGATCAGCCTTCTTGGTACTAATTATTAAATTCTGCTGCCTTTTCCCGCCCGTGACACAGATTGTAACTTTCCAGGCAGTTATTGTCTCTCAAAGCAGCACACAGAATAGAAGGAGAAAAGGAGACAGGCCTTTCCTTTAGGCTTACAAACTAAAAAGGACAAGGCCCATAAGGAAAAGGGAGTAGAGAGAAAAAGGGCAGAAGAGAGATCAAGACCAAAACAAGGCAGTGATCTACATATAAGAGAGCATATATATCCTGTTTGGGCAAGCTGATTGTCCCTTAGTGCTGGTATTGCTTGAATAGTGATGGGCTCTTGTTCCTTTGACTGATGGATGGGGCCAGAGAGTCCTTTCCCCCCACCTATCTGCACTACCAGGATAACAGACAGCTGCAGCTAAGTGGTCTTTCAGGCATGAAAGAGAAGAAAAGTGATCTTCCTGCTAGTGTTCCTTCTGTGGCTAATGGATGGAGCAAGTTGGCGTCCTTCTTGCCTGATTCCTGAGAGGCATTGGGTCGGTGAGCTTCCCGTGGCCCCAGAGCCCCTAGCTGACGGCAGAAGTTAGAGTGCACTTCCTTTCTTCAGTCCTGTTCCAATACTTTTTCTAGGAAGGCAGCTGAGCCAGAAACTGATGTTTGGCATGATAAGTCACATGATGACTTATCAGTGGGACCATTTGGGACTGTGGGACCTTTCAGAGGGACCATTTGTTACTGATTAAATTATACTGCCCTTTCCCATCCAATACATAGGTTATTACCTTTTTGATAGCTTTCCCTTCCTGAGTCCTGGATAGCTCAGTTGGTTAGAGTGTGGTGCTGATGATGCCAAGGTTGCAGGTTCAATCCTTGCATGGGGCAGCTGCATATTATTGCATTGCAGGGGGTTGGACTAGATGATCCTCAGGGTCCCTTCCAGCTCTACAGCTCTATGATTCCAAAGAACTATATGCCACCAGTGGTGCTTTATGTTTATATTTCCCAAATAGCAGCCCTTCTGCCACAGGACAAATAATTCTTTGAAACTGAAAGGAATATCAAATGCTGTTTGTTATACACACTGTTTTTCAAAAAGCAAGAAATCCCACAGGGTATACCTTGGGTGTGTCTAAAGTAGCCTTTTAACTCACAGGTAATTGAACTATCATTAGCTGTCTTGCTTCCTCACACTTATAAGACCAATTATATTTGTTCTCTGTAACTGGTTTGTGGCAACTATTTTCCCAGATGTGGTAGGAACTTGGAGGTTGGGTTACTATAATATGTTTGCCATAATTCTTAACACACATTGTTTAATGTTTTCCCTTTTCTTTTCTGTTCAATCACACAATTTCCCTAAAGATGTAAAGGTTACTTGTTTTATAAGCAATTTTGGGCAACATTCCTTGAGAACAAAAATATACAATATATTGTTTGTCAAAGCTCCAGTTTGAACTCATGTTCAGCTACAAGCTTGATTCTGCAATTGGTTGAGCACCTTTTTGGCCTGTGGGTGCCTCGTCATTTGTGATAATTAGCCGTAGCTAGAGCTAGCATTGCATAAGGCACCAAATTCATTATAAGAAGGAGTATAAATTGAAACTGTCCTGCAGAGCTGATGAGCAGAGTTTATGAAATCATAATCTTTCTTCCTCATCATTTCAAATATAAGCATAATGTGTAAATAAGCCATAATAGACTTCACTTTTAAAAAAAGCTAAAGGACCCCTGACAGTTAAGTCCAGTTGCATACGAATCTGGGGTTGTGGTGATCATCTCGCTTTACAGACCAAGGGAGCCGGCGTTTGTCCGCAGACAGTTTTTCCGGGTCATGTGGCCAGCATGACTAAGCCGCTTCTGGCACAACGGAACACCGAAACCAGAGCAGCACATGGAAATGCTGATTACCTTCCCGCTGGAGTAGTACCTATTTATCTACTTGCACTTTGACGTGCTTTCGAACTGCTAGGTTGGCAGGAACTGGGTCCAAGCAACGGGAGCTCACCCCTTTGCGGGGATTCGAACTGCCGACCTTCTGATCAGCAAACCAAAGAGGCTCAGTGGTTTAGACCACAGTGCCCGGCGTCTCACTAGACTTCACTTGTTGTAAATCTCATCTTTTTTCAGGGCAAGGGGGGAGAGTACACAAGGTGGCTTATGTAATTCCAAAATAAAACAAACTGATAAGTAAAAATAAGAAACCTTTTTAAACAGCAGCAGAAGTATTAAGAAGTCTCTCTTCTGTGTACCCATTTGTACAAAGAAAAACCTCAAAAGTTAAGCAAAAAAACTGGGCATGCTCACAACAAACTGTGCCTTCAGTTTGATTCAGAAAAATGGCCATATAAATAGGCTTCAGTCATTTCTGGGGCATTCTTGAGTTCTGTATTCCATGGGTTACTGTCCCTGCTATGAATTAGAAATTTGTTCCTGACACAACACGGAATAAAGTTCTTACCCGATGACTGGCAAATTGCTCCAATTAGAGTGAAGTGTCATAATTTCTGCTCCGATGCTTACCTTGTGACACTGATGTTTCCCATTCGGATAACTGCCTTTTGTGAATATCCCATAAGGAAGAAAGAGGTCATCTGCTTTTGAAATTGGATTAGGGAGATCTGTGGTAGAATCTTATATTAGCTGAATTTGCATTCCTTGATGAGATTTTTGTATTGAAGCTATTATCATTGAGTGATGATTCTGCAAAGCTTTTCACCTTGAACCCATTTATTTTCCCAAATTAGATTTCCTGAAAACAGGGCTGTTCTATACTTGCATTACTCTGTGGTTTAAAAAATAAAATATAGTTCTTGTGTTATTTTAGTCAATAAAAATTACTTTTTGTGTACTGAGGTTCATTGACAAAGCTATTATCTTTATGAAATTTTAGGTGGAATTTAGAGGCAACAAACAGGAAAGGATTTTGGGAAGAGCATAGTCAGCTTACATCTTGTGGACCTTCTTAGCGGGGTCTGTTGAACAGACAAGAGTTTTTTGCACGCAGAGTCTGGTTCATTAATTTCAGTGTCATGTTATTTTGTGTGTGTAAGAGCCTGACAGAACTTGGACTTTGACCACACCTTAACATGGCAATAATTCCCTAAATTGGTCTTACTTAAAAATATTAAACTACTTCACCACCTTTTGGAGGATTTTGCTTTTTTAAGGCGGAGTGGAAGGAGATGATCTGTATTTCAACCCCACTTCTGCTCTTAGGAATTAAAATTCACAATCTAAAACGTTCCATTAGTGAGTACGAAGGGCAACACCGTGGGAGGATCCCCCCTTGCTATTTTGAGAAATGAACTGCATTTGCACAATATTTGCCATTTAATATATGCTGTAATGTGTCTTAATGAATTTGATCTCTTCAGTAATACTGCTGTTTTGTTTTGCTATCACTGAATTTCATTCTGTGCATTTTATAGATGTTCCTATGTTCTAGCTTTCAACAAGTTTGAAGTTGTTGTGAGCGCTTCATTAGCTGGCAATCTCTAGAGAGGGATATGTACAATAAGCAAAGGTTTATGGAGGATTATCAGATGGTTTGTTTTACATATTGATGCAAAGCACCTTCATGCTTACAATTTTCCTTAGAGAAGGGATGCCCAATGTGGTGGTATCCATTATCCCCCATCATCCCTAATGTCTTACACTTTCACGCTCGTTTGTTTTTCACGTTGACTGGATTGATGGGAACAATGATTTGTTTTAGGGAAAAGAAGCACAAAGGGGTTGCTTACCCATTTTTCACTTAGATATCAGGTTACTGGCTGCTGGGTTTGGTGGGTCAGTCTTCTCTTCCCATGTAGCAATTCACTGAACATAACATGCCTGTTTGCAGGTTGAGTTCTCCTACCCTCCCCTAATCCCAGGAGAAGGCCACGACAGTCACAGTTTGCCAGAGGAATGGAAATACTTGCCTTTCCTAGCATTGCCGGATGGGGCTCACAACTATCAAGAAGGTAAGGAGTCATTTGGCATGGTTCTGCCCAGTGTTGTGTAGATTACATGAACTAGCACAGAACTGGGCACTGTCTGAAGAATTCAGCACCCTGAAAATCTCAGCATTTTTCTATTTTATAGAAACCAGGTTTCTAGCCCCTGCGGCTACAAAGGTAAGGCGCAAAATATTCCGCCGAGAATAAATTAGGCAAGGCAACAGACATACGCAAATTTGGTACATAGACTAGTGGGCACACACTAACTAGTTAATGTTTACCTGCTTCTAACTGCACCAAGTGAAACATTCCTAGATGTCGCAAATGCACAGGCAAAACACAGCTGCAGGCCAATCTGTTCCTATGGCAACAAGGCATTAGTGCATAGTTTTGGTAAAAGCAAAAGTAATGGTTGCAAAGCTATCATAGCAACAAAGCAATCAGACCTGTTCAGTTGAGAGCATTCCCCTGGGTATCTCTGCTCTGGCTGTAAAGTGTAAGACAGCTGTTCTTAGAGCAAGTGCTTTCTTCTTGTAAGGCTGGCATTCAAGCTTGATGTTCTTTGCCGATTAATACTGACAATTTAAAACAAAAAATCCAGTTGATCACAAGAAGCTTGATTTTATATCTGTAGAACCTTGGTCAGCAGCCTTTTTCTTCATTTGAAGTGGGAGTGAGAGATGGTGGAGAGGAGCCCCACCCTGGCCAGCTCTTAAAGCAGCTGACAAGCAAGTTATTAGCAAACTTTTCTCTTTACCTTTTTTGCCTTGGATTTGGCAGGAAGTATGCTTTAAGGTGCCAGATTTGGCTTACCCTGATGCACTTCTGACAGTAAAGGCTCTAACACTGATTAGCTAAGTTTGCAGAAGGTGGGGCTTGGAGTGTTCACTTAAACAGGAAACTTAAATTGTTTGCTGTCCATCTTCTGCGAGGAAAGCAAATGTCAGTTTGGCTGGGATTAAAACCTGACATACGGGTGGCTGTGGTGGATTGGGAAATCCTGGGAGGGAGTGAAGGCAAAGTGACTGAAAGAAGGGTGCATGGGTCCAGGAAAACCTCTTTACTGCTGAATCAGAGCACACAGAAGTCTGCGGAAACTCTATTGACATTTGCTCCGATTCAGTGCTGAAGAGCAGGTATTTCTGGGGGGAGTGGAAGTGTGGATGAGCCCTTAGAAAGAGAGACCCTGGGGAGAAGATTAGAGGCAGTGTAGAATGACAAGAAACAGCTGATGAGGCTCTCCTATGGGGCAGGGCTGGAGAGATTGGCTGGTCAACAAACAGAGTGATTAAAGAAAGTTCAGTAAAGTAAGCAGCATAATGAAAAACTGGAAGCCAAGGAAACCACGGGTGGTGGAGGTGTGAAGTTGAGGAATAGCCAAAAAAGGTAAGCCTCAGGCAAAACTTCAGTGAGGGCCTAGAAACCGGAGTAGTTCTCCTTACCGGCCAGAAGGAAATAAGCCAAGAAAGGAGAGAGACAAAGAGACTCATTGACAGAATTTGGATCACAGGCTGACAGAAAGGCCGCTGGTTGTGGTTTCTGCTGTCATTGCAGCATTGTGACCTGGTGATTCTGACAGGGTGTCAAGAGTCAAGGAACGGTGGTGGTGCCAAGTTTCACCTGTGGATTTCAACTAACCAGCCAGTTCTTGGGCAGCAGGTTTATAGTTCCCTGGAATGGGATAGGGAGCAGCAGCTGCAAGATACAGTTCCTTTTCGCTGCTGATGGATGAGCAAGATCCATTGATGGATGAGCAAAATTAATTTCCCCCAGGGCAGTAAAATAGCTTGAACAGGCTCTGCATGGTAATATAAAATACTCATGTAGACCCATGTTCTACCCATTATTCCACACCATAATGTTTTAGTTTTTCCTGGACATGTTAGGCTATCGGTCTCAGGGTGATACTGAGCAGGATAACACTGTAGAAACTTCATACCTCTATGTGATACCTTTAGTGAATGGTAAGACCATTTCATTCCTCTTTCAGACACTGTGTTTTTTCACTTGCCACCAAGAAGCGGAGATCGAAGTACAGTGTATGGTGTCTCATGCTACAGGCAGATTGAAGCTAAGGTAATTATATTGCCATTGTGTGAACATTAAAAGAAAAAAGGTCTTGTGCAGGAACTTAGGTAGCTTCTCCAGTTTGGCATCCTCCAAATTTGACCATTTGTACAAAGTACTGGTGCAGATATTGGTATAATGTGAACATTAAGTCTTTGAGGCCCTTGATGCAGGGTAATATTCTTCCTGAATCTTTTTATGACAGAGCCTCTGTCATATGTTTGAGCTTTTTTTAGTTCTTGTGAACTGTTGGACTTAGCATTTGGCAATTGTCGAGGAACTTTTCATAGTGGCCTTTGTTTCAAACAAAATATAGTTAATATAAGCCACAGTTTGTTTGTTTGTTTGTTTGTTTGTTTGTTTGTTTGTTTGTTTGAGTGAAATGATAAACCATGGTTAAGCAAAATGAAAGACTCTGAATTCCTTCCTGTCACATGGGAGAAGAAGGGGGAGGAATGCATGAGCCTAAGGCTCTCCTGAGCTGTGGTTTAGCATGATGTGCAAATATGAACATGGAAACATCCAGCTGCAGATTTTCTGGCCTGTATTGATACCATGAATGCAACTGAAAGAGTAAAGTTCATTGTTTACACGGTGACTTCTCTTGATATCAAATGTTACGTGGGTAGTGATGTGAGGTGAGAATATTATCCAGAGAATATTCTCCACAAACTGTAAATTCTAATGTAAGAACCAGTTTTACAACCCACATTAAAAAAATCTAGTAAATAATAAGTCAAGCTGTGATATTGCTGGTGTAAGTAATGAATAATGATTTTTTTTATCCAGTTACATTACTGGGCATTGTGTCATTCACCATTGGCAGTTCTGAAATGCAGTTAGTTAGTTAGTTAGTTAGTTAGTTAGTTTTAAAAGCGCTATTCATTTAATTTGATGAACATTTGAATTCATATGTATTTCAACTATATGTAATAGCACTTTTTTCTATTTTGGTGTGACCTTATTCTTAGCAATTCTATACCCTTGGCCATACAGTGTGCTTTTTTTACAGAAAGTGGCCTTAATGCTTTGTACACTTAAAATACCTAGGCCTAGCAAAGAATGTGAATTCACTGCATTGCCCCATTGAATAAAAGTATCTGTATAGTTTTTGGTTGCCATCTGAGCAAGTTTACCCATGAATAAATTTTCAATGCATTAAAATTATATCTTTTTCAGTGCATCAAAATGAATATTCTCCTATTTTAAATGAAAATTCTCTAATACTCTCATTAATCGAGAACAGTCTCGAGAATATTCTCCAAAAGATTATTCTCGAGAATTTAACATCACTATACGTTGGAACATATTTTTTTACTTTCTGTCCAGTTTAGTATACATTTAGCTATCAAATAGCACTTAATCTGCAACAAAATATCCAATAGCCTGGGATTCATAATCACATGTGTTTTAACCTCTTGCTCCTTTACTGTATGACTAACTCCTCTATTTACATAAACCCAGAAAAGCTGATAGAGATTATTTTGTTGATTCATGTTTAAATTAGCACTTGGATGAAGCAGGTGGAAGTTGGCCGTGAGCATTAACTATTAGTTTTCCAGGAGTTTTATGTTTAGAAATAGAACCGTAAATATATGTCTTCCTTTTGTGGGAGAAACTGATTTGATATTAACCTAAGAGATGTAACTCAGGTGGTATGACTATGAAGGTTTTGATATGTTTGGTAAAGGCAGACCATTTTTCCTTTCTATGAAATGATAGTTTTAAAATCATGAGTTCCTAAATTATTCATTTATATTCTAATATTGTTGCCCTGTCATACTCCAGCAGCATTTATAGTCTGTTAAACCTCTGCAGCAATTTCATATCTCTAACTGGATATCACAGGATATTACAATAAAAGATTCATGGCAATGAAGCTACTGTTTTATTTCACTGTGACTGTTATAATTTTACTGGTCTTGTCTTCACTTACTACTATTTCTGCATTTAAAAAACAGATCTTACATTACATACCTGTCCATCTACACTCCCTTGCTTTTTTTGTGCAATTTGGGTGAATTATATGGTGGTGCTATGTAATTTTGGCTAAGAAAGCAACTGACTTTGTGACTCAGTTCACACATGATGCAAAACCATGGTTTAGCGTTACAATGTGTGAGTGTTAGGTTCACAGTCCCATGCATGCTTTCCTGAAAGTAAGCTCCACTGACCTCAAATGGGTAGATCTATGCATAGGATTGTTTGCCCTGTAAGGATAGCATCTGCTTCAACATTCCTCTTACACAGGAAAAGTGCCTTATTTTTCAGAACTAACGCATGTCTTCACATGTAAACTTGTGGAAGCTTCATAAATACATTAAAGTTGATATGATTACTGGGGGTGCCAAAAATGTAGACAATATATAGAAAAGGGATGGATCTCTTCTTTTATTATTGTATTCAAAGCAAATCTTTTCACTTGGCTTTTTCTTATTGACCCCGTCTTCTCTCCCTTCTTTTTACCTTCCTTCTCTTTTCTCCATAACATGCCTAGTGCTTTATTAGACGACATGCCTACAGGCAGAGCTTGTCCTATTTTTTATTTTGTAGAGTGCTCAGTTGTTTTTATGAATGCTGCGGCTAAATGAGTATTTCTTTCTTAAAAGCGGATGTGTAAAAATACAGTAAAAGCTTGTTCTCTCTTACTCTTTTTCAAAGGCCTTGAAAGTACGGCAAGCAGATATTACCCGAGAAACAGTACAGAAAAGTGTCTGTGTTCTAAGTCAGCTGGTAAGAGATAGCTACATGCCTTAAAAATAGCCTGTTTGGGGATCTTTCTTTCTTGTTAGGCACACTCCTGTTGAAATCCAAGACAAAAGCATTCTTTCAAAATTGTATTCTAGTAAACAGAAAAATGCCATTTGCAAGCTCTTAAAATGACAGCATTTCTAATTTAATACACCCCAGAGCATTTTCCCCCTTTAGCTTTGTACAAAAGTGAAATAGGACACACAACACTTCTGGTCACACTCTTTATCATCGTTCAGATCTGTGAGGTCCATCACTGTACAGTTGAGGAACTGAATCTGGAGCATGGTTTGCCCAGCTCCCAACCCAAGATCCAGAAATTTAGCTATTAGGCCACGTTAACTCCCACCCAGCATGCCTTTTCAAGTCACACCTCATGTAACAACTACCTGATGTGAAATACTTTTTGTGAGTGTGTACATGATACTCAAAGTTAGATTCTGGAGTTGAATTGCATAAGGAGCAAGAGAGAGATTCTTCATGGAGAAGTTGACTTGCGCAAGCAAAGCTTATTTATGTTTCTTTATGTATAGCATTTTAGCCAATCCTTACTCAGAGGTGCTCAAGGTAGTGTGTGTGGTTCTTCCTGCCCTGTTTTACCACAACAGCCCTATGAGGCAGGTTAGACAGAGGGTTAGTGATGGGCCCAAACTCACTCTGTGAACTTCACGGCTGACTTGAACATTGGATTTGAACCTGAGTTTGGTCTAAACCATAGAGCCTAGGGCTTGCCGATCAGAAGGTCAGCGGTTCGAATCCCTGCAATGGGGTGAGCTCCCGTTGCTTGGACCCTGCTCCTGCCAACCTAGCAGTTCGAAAGCACGTCAAAGTGCAAGTAGATAAATAGGTACCACTCCAAGCAGAAGGTAAACGGCGTTTCCGTGCGCTGCTCTGGTTCACCAGAAGCGGCTTAGTCATGCTGGCCACATGATCCGGAAAAACTCGGCCTGTAAAGCGAGATGAGCGCCACAACCCCAGAGTCATCCGCGACTGGACTTAACGGTCAGGGTCCCTTTACCTTCCCTGGTCCAACACTGTAACTCTACACCAGCTCTCAAATGGAGCAAGGCAGCCCAATTTTGCCTGTATTTTACTACACTACTCTGATCAGATAGGAACACTATCACATTAATAAACTATTGCTCATTTTGACAGCAGGATGACTGACATAGTCAATTGTTACAAATAAACTGTTACCTAATGTATGTGTAATTTGTCATCAATTTGAGATCAATATGTGTAATTTGCTTTGAAGGGTAGCTGTTTTTGTCCTTGACTGTGTGCCTGCCTTTCTTGATGTAACATGATGATGTGTTTTCCTTTCAAGCCTCTGTATGGGCTACTCCAGGCTAAGCTGCAGCTAATTACACATGCCTACTTTGAAGAAAAAGACTTCTCACAAATTTCAATACTTAAGGTAAGTGTTTCTGTATAGAAATGCAAACTCTTGTGTGATACTGATCTGTGAACCATAGAGGGCCTTCATTATTATCTAGTTGATTCCTAAACTTTAAAGTCACCCTTCCTTCATTTCTACCTGCAGAGCTTTCCTTTCCCTTGAAGCAAATGGGGAAGCCCATGCAGACTGAGAGATAGGTGAACTCACTGGAGTCCACATCCAGGATAGAAAAAAAGGCTCTTAGCTTACATTATTTGCATTCAGAAGGTTTCTTTTTCTTGATTTTCTTGTTTTATCTTTTTGCAAACCACTTTGAGGGGTGGGTGCACGTGCGTTTAAATCAAGCGGTATATTCTTTTTATGAAATAAAGAAAATAGACCAGGGGATGTGAATGTTGTGCTTTCCAGATGCTGATGAACTTAATTCCCATAATCCCTGGACACGGACCATACCAGCTGGATGGAAGTTGGAGTCCAACAGTATCTCAAGTGGACTATGTTAGCTACCACTGGTTAAGACCCAGGGGTGGTCAGCCTTGTGGTATCCTTGGGGTTTTCTTGCTGTCACCCTGAGCTCCACCTGCTGCAAAAAAGGCACACACTTAGAATTCTGACCCTGAGGTTGGTTTACTTTTGAGGCCCAGACAGTGGCGTATCGTGGGTTGTCAGCACCCGGGGCAAGGCAAGTAATCTGCGCCCCCTAACCCGTGGATTTGCGCCCCCTAACCTGTGGATTTGCCCTAACCCCAGATGTTGCGCCCGGTGCGGCCGGCCCCCCTGCACCCCCCACGCTACGCCACTGGGCCCAGAAGCTTACAGTCCTTCCCCACCAAAGTCCATTCCTGGTTACTCCAGCTTTCTTCATTTCAGCAAAGAGCCATTTTTTGTTGCTACCTTTGCTTAATAGTTGTGAGTCAGAAATGCTTGTTGATCTATTGAAAATTACCCAGGGATCTATTAGGTAGGACCCAGTCTACTTTCTGCCCATCCCTGGTGTAGCCAATACTGAGCTAGGTAAACGAGGGGGTCTGGCTCAGTTTAAGGCAATGCCCTATATTCCAAGATCAGCCTTTCACAACCTTGGGTCCCCAGGTATCGTTGGACTACAACTCCTATCATTCTTAGCCAGCATGGCCAGTGGTCAGGGTGTAGTTCAAGAACATCTGGGGATCCACGGTTGAGAAAGGCTGTCCTAGAATGAGCCCAGAGGAGCTATGTGTTGTTTTTCTCAACCAGTGCTTTTCCCCATTGCAAATGAGAGGGTTTTCAAATGCCATTGGTGGTATAGCACATTAAAAAGGGTCAAAGATCCCGTTGGGTTTACAGCCACTCTGGGTTCTACCAAAGGATCTCTGGATTCCAGCTGAAGCCTCTGGGAGTCCATTGGATCGATGTCTGTGCATTTAGTGACTCATTGAAAAAAAATGCCAAGAATCTTCTTCGTAGCATAGTATTTTGGCAGATCCATGCTGTATGAAGCCTTTTCATTTATTTTCTAGTAGATGCCTTTAGAAAGTGTTTTTAATGCTTTCAAAATTTATGGCTTTTCAGGAACTTTATGAGCATATGAATAGCTCGCTGGGAGGAAGCCCCCTGGAAGGATCACAAGTTTATCTCGGTAAGCAATATTTACTAAATAACACAACTGTTCAATTTTCATTTCCTAAAGCACTTTATTGGTACTAAAGTCTAATGCCAAGTCTGCGCGCACCTAAATAATGTACTAATTATTGTGATTACTTTCCCCATCAGTCACGGGGCTAGATAAACCTGTCACTTTTCTCCTTTTACATAGAATGCTTGTCATTCTCGCTGCTGGGTGAGGAGAGCTGCTCAGATGCTTTTTCAAAATCATGTTTATTCAAAAGTAATGAGTGGCTTATTAAAGGCCTATTAATAGGAGAAGGGCCAGATAATGTTCCTTCCTCCTGGCTTTAATGGGAGAAGGCAGTCAACTATTATTGGTAGTTAAAATCCAATTTGCATTTGTGATCAATGAACCATGTAAGCTCCCACAGATTCTTTGCCCCTAAGTGCTGGGAAAATAGTATAAAATCTTTTAATCCTGCTGCCAGCAGGTTTCTCCACATTTATAAGCAGGAAGGGTTGGTGGTTCTTACTAAGGTGTGCTAATTGTTTTGCTGTCCCTACTTTTAGGCCTGTCTCCACGAGATCTTGTCCTTCAGTTTAGACACAAGGTATGTTTCTTCCTGATGTGAATCCTGAAGGAGGTACATCTACTTCTGCCTTTGCTCTGCTTTTGACAAACAGTGAAGATGCATCTGCTCCAGCAAGGTTTATTAGGGGAATTCATTCTCAAATGTATTAAGACCGCTCAGTTTGTAAAGGTTACTATTCTGTGGTTGATAGTTGGCTTAGTTCGTTTGGGCTGGATGTGATACTTAATAGTGAAGGGTTGTAGCTCATTGGTAGAAGATCTGCTTTGCATACAGTAGGTCCCAGGTCCCCTCCCTAAAAACATGGAAAGCTTCTCCCAGTAAGTATTTATAACACTGATCTGGATGGACAAAAGACCTGACCTTGTCTGAGGCAGCTTCCTTTCAAGGCAGATCTTGTACTGATGTAGACGGCCTTCAGGTAACATGGCCCCAAACCATTTGAGACCTTAAATATCAAAACCAGCACTTTAAACATGGCCCGGAATTGGTGTCACGTGCTCTGATCAACTTGCACCCACTAGCAATCAAACTCAACAGCTGACATTTCTAAATCATCTTCAAAGGCAGCCCCATGTACAGTGTATCTACCTTGGATGTGATCACCACATGGATTACTGAAACAAGGTCCAGTCCCTCTAGATAGGGTCACAGGTGGCGTCCCGGTTTCCCCTGGAAAAAAGGCACTTGTACTTCCAAAAATAGTGCTGAGCCCAAGAGAAACCACAAACTTGGTCCTTCAGGGACGTCAAGGCCCATCAAACAGCAGTTGTACCCCTGTGTCCAGATCAGCTTGTTTCCCTAAGCATAGCACCTGTATATTATTTGGCCTGAGTTTCTGTTTATTCACCCTTATCCACCTCAGGACTGTCTCCAGACACCTATTTAGGATTTCCACAGCCTCCCTGAGATTGACAGGTGGAAAAGAGAAGCGGAGCTTGGCATCATCTCCAATTTGAGCTCAAGCTTCTGGGTGATTTCACCCAATGGTTTGACTTAGAAGATAAACAGCATGGGGGACAGAATAGAATCTTTAGGGGCTCCAGAAGCCAGAGGTATAGGCTACAAGAGAAATCATCCAGTATCATATTCTGGGACCAAACCTCCAGAAGGGACTAGGGCCGATGTAGTACCATTCCTCCCCTTTCCAATCCAGCTGCACAACCCAGAAAATACCGTGGTTAATGGTACTGAATGCCACTGAGAGGTCTAAGAAAATGAATCGTGTTGTGATCTTGTCTGGTTCTCATTGTAAGTCATCCACTAGGATGACCAAAGCCATTTCTGCCCCGTATCTGGGCCTAAAACCTAGAAATATATAGTGTCTCATCTGTGCTGCTACTATGAGTTGTTTAATTGGTTGATTGAACCTTTTGAGTGCTTTGAGAATTTAAAAAAAAAAGCCAACTTATAAAAGCAAATGAAATCATTTGTTCAAATATTTATTGTGCATTTCTGAAGTGTCAAATGGAAATGATATCAAGAAATATTAATATGCATACCTATTTCTGTTGTTTAAGATTTGTGTCTCTTTGTTTTGAAGGTCTTAATACTTTTTAAGCTGATTCTCCTAGAGAAAAAGGTAAGATCTCTTCCTTCTCCCCAAGTTGGCAGAAAGAACTGAAATGGACTTGCTTAATGACGTAGTTTAATGGAATATGGATTAAAAGCCTCTGTGGATAGATGTTATGAGCTATCCCACACATGCAGTTAGCTAGTATGGAGACGTGCCTGTTCTGTTTGCCTGCTTTTTAATGTTTCAATTCAGCAGTAGTTGCCATGGCAAAGGTAAGCGAACTTTGCTAAAGTTGTGGTGTGGCTATATGGATACAGATATGCAGATGTACAGAGACAGCTGTATGCAAGGCAGCATAACACAAAATGGCTGCCAAATATAAAAAAGCAGAAAAGGAAAGTACCCCAAAATGGTACAGGCATGTCTCCTTCCGCCCCGCTGGGAAAAAGGCACCTACATCAGCCAACACTGTGCTCACTCCCAGAGAGAAGCTCTCTGCATCTTTCCTTTGCTCAGACCATGTCACAGCCTTGACATGTAATAAAAGATGGGCAGGCTTATAAGAGTGTGTGTTCAGTGTAGTAGAAGCCAAGCCAATGCAAACAGGAACTGGGCAGAAAGAGCAAATCATCTCTCAAGCATTGTAGATTTTTGAGAGGATATTTACTGAGATCATTTGCGGGAACCATAGGAGGTTAGGGTACCCTTGGTTTATATTCATCCAGTAGCCACATATGTTTAAAAATGAAGGGTGGAAGGGATTAATTCATGGGTAGGCAACTTAAGGCCCGGGGACTGGATACGGCCCAATCACCTTCTAAATCCGGCCCATGGACGGTCCAGGAATCAGCGTGTTTTTACATGAGTAGAATGTGTGTTTTTATTTAAAATGCATCTCTGAGTTATTTGTGGGGCATAGGAATTCATTCATCCCCCCCCCCATATAGTCCACGCCCCCTCAAGGGCTGAAAAAGTTTGCTGACCCCTGGATTAAATTCTGCAGGCTATTATAGCTACAGCAACATGGGAAGATGATTATTAATCTGAACTTTTTACATGTCACAAAGCATAAAAGCAAGAGTGCTCCAGAGCGTCAAGTCATACTTCCCCTTCCTGTTTTAATGCACTGAAATCTGTGGGATGTTTCCTGGAACCTATGAGGAAGGAAGACCAAACGCAGAGTAGTATATCCTCTGTTTCTAGGTTCAGTCTTCAGCGGAGGTACTGAGGGTTCTTCCAGCTGTATAGCTGGAATTATCTGAGATTACAAATGTTGCAGAAGAAGAGGGGGTAGGGTCATGAAACAAAAGAGCAGGTGAACCTCTTTGAAGAATGTTGTTGTTTAGTCGTTTAGTCGTGTCCGACTCTTTGTGACCCCCTGGACCAGAGCACGCCAGGCACTCCTGTCTTCCACTGCCTCCCGCAGTTTGGTCAAACTCATGCTGGTAGCTTCGAAGACACTGTCCAACCATCCCGTCCTCTGTCGTCCCCTTCTCCTTGTACCCTCCATCTCTCCCAACATCAGGGTCTTTTCCAGGGAGTCTTCTCTTCTCATGAGGTGGCCAAAGTACTGGAGCCTCAGCTTCACGATCTGTCCTTCCAGTGAGCACTCAGGGCTGATTTCCATAAGAATGAATAGGTTTGATCTTCTTGCAGTCCATGGGACTCTCAAGAATGTCCTCCAGCACCATAATTCAAAAGCATCAATTCTTCGGCGATCAGCCTTCTTTATGGTCCAGCTCTCACTTCCATACATCACTACTGGGAAAACCATAGCTTTTACTATACGGACCTTTGTTGGCAAGGTGATGTCTCTACTTTTTAAGATGCTGTCTAGGTTTGTCATTGCTTTCCTCCGAAGAAGCAGGCGTCTCTTAATTTCGTGGCTGCTGTCACCATCTGCAGTGATCATGGAGCCCAAGAAAGTGAAATCTCTCACTGCCCCTTCTATTTGCCAGGAGGTGATGGGCCCAGTGGCCATAATCTTCGTTTTTTTATGTTGAGCTTCAGACCATATTTTGCGCTCTCCTCTTTCACCTTCAATAAAAAGTCCTTTAATTCCTCCTCACTTTCTGCCATCAAGGTTGTGTCATAATAGGTCTTAACTAAGAGCAGGTCCATGCTGACTCAGACTATGTACCTTGAGACCTGGCTCCAGATGCATTCAAGAACTATTAACAGCACACAGTACTCTGTTGGCTCCTAGGCTCTGGATATAGATGGAGTTGGGGCATCCTTGAATAATTTAGCTAAACTGCAATATAGGAAAAATTGTGTCTAATGCTTTAAAAAAATTGCTGCTTGTGATTCCTATTTCCAGTGCTGTAGAGTTCTGCATGCTGTTCTGTAAACATCTAAACCACTGAGCCTCTTGGGCTTGCCGATCAGAAGGTCAGCGGTTCGAATCCCCGCAACGGGATGAGCTCCCGTTGCTTGGTCCTAGCTCCTGCCAACCTAGCAGTTCAAAAGCACGTCAAGTGCAAGTAGATAAATAGGTACTGCTCTGGCAGGAAGGTAAATGGCATTTCCGTGCGCTGCTCTGGTTTCGGTGTTCTGTTGTGCCAGAAGCGGCTTAGTTATGCTGGCCACATTACCCAGAAAACTGTCTGCAGACAAATGTCGGCTCCCTCGGCCTGTAAAGCGAGATGAGCGCCACAACCCCAGAGTCATCTGCGACTCGACTTAACTGTCAGGGGTCCTTTACCTTTTCCCTTTTTATGCCTCAGAAAGTCATGTGCTGCTGTCATTCTGGGTGTTATGAACTGGAATTGTTTGTTTTTCATTCTCTCTCTCTAGAAATTAATGTTTGTCATTCCCACCCCCCTCCCTTTCAGGTTCTGTTTTATATCTCTCCAGTGAATAGGCTGGTGGGAGCCCTAATGACAGTCTTATCACTCTTTCCTGGTAAGTGAGAGTAAAGTATTTACAACAATAGAAAGCATGACACCTGAACCTAGAACTGTGATTAGCTATGGTTGGTTTCCACAAGCCATTTTTAGAAATCACTGTTTGAAGTTGGTTTGTTTGAAACAAACCATAGTTAATGTTAACCACAGTTTGCTGGCCCAGACCACGTGACAAATCACAGTTTACCAGAACTCCTCCTCCCAGTCATACAGTAAGAGGAGAAGAAGGGAAATGTCAAGGCCGGAAGAAGGCTATGTTCATTCAGGTTTTGCTAAACCATAGATCAGAATGACCTTCGGATACAGCTTGTCTCATGAAAGATCACTAGTATGGTATATTCTAGCAAGTATGAGGAACTGCACTTCAAGCTATAAATATACTGTGCATGGAAATCGAAGATCATTCTTAGAATCATAGAATTGGAGGCGACCCCGAGAATCATCTAGTCCAACCCCCTGCCATGCAGGAAATTTCAACTAAAGCATCTTTGCTCAGGAAAAAGGGAGCCTTCAGATAATGTAGCTTTCAAAGTATGCAATGTGTTTTGCATTATGATAAACTCACTTTTCATGATGCTGTTATCCAAGAGATTTTTATAATTCCCAGGTATGATAGAGCATGGTCTCACTGACTGTTCACAGTACCGGCCAAGGAAGAGTGTTTCAGAGGATGTCGGCCAGCAGGAAGTCCCACCTCCTACAGATTATTATGTTTCCTTGTCCACTGTGGCGCTTTCAAACGAAAACGTGGAAACAGATGCAGAAGGCCCAACGTTGTCCGGAAACCAAGAACGGAACACTGAGAAAGTAGATGTACCTTTATTTCAGACCGAGGACAATCTCAACGGAGCACGCGTCTCCAGGGAGAATGGGCAGCATTTGAAACCTCCTTCACGCACTTCTCCAGAATCATCTGAAAGTGACTGGGAAACCCTGGATCCTAATATCCTGGAGGACCCCAGCTTGAAAGAAGGAGAAGGTGAAATCACTGCAGTAGCAGCACAGACTGAAATTCTTCCAAAGGAACCTGCAGTTTCTGAAAGCATTCCCATTACTGTGCAGCCTCAACCTAACACAGGGCACGCCGTCTTTGTTCCTGGCCTTATATCTGGTTTGGAAGAGGACCAGTATGGCATGCCGTTAGCTGTTTTCACTAAGGTAATGTTCTGGCTTCTGGAAAGTTTTCGCGTTGCTTTTTATCTTGTTTCAAAGTTGTATTTTTATCCTCTCATTGGGTAAGCTGTCCTGGAGCAAGTGCTACTCATAAAGGTGGACTGCGAAAATTTTTTAAAAACAAATAAGCAATTCCTTTAGTAAATTAGTCAACAAAACATTGTGGCCTCTCTTTTGAAAAGGTGAGGACCCGTTTTCTACAAGGTCTCCTTTTCTGGATGGTGAATGTCATGGGGTCATAACAAACCTTGCACAGTTTAAATTTGCCACAGTTGTAGACAGAGGAATGAGGTATCTGATCAAAGCTCCACAATTAAAGGAGGAGGGAAATACAATAATGTGACAGGGGGGGAAGCATAGCACAAGTCTTCCAGATCTCCCTGTCCTGGTAATACAAGCTGGGCAGCTGTGCTGACAGGGTCAGTGGTGTTAACCTTTTGGGAAACTGCAAGGATTTCTTAATACCCAAAGGGAGTGGGACAAAAAACCAAAACAGACAGAACACCCCAGAGCCTTTGTGCCATCACCAGGAACTGGGGTGTACTCACTCATGGCAGGGCCCTGATAGGATGGAAGTAACAAACACTTTCTCTGATCTGGCCAGGGTCATAGGTCATTGGTGGAGAACTGCTTTGCATAGTCCACATCATCTCCAGGAAAGACTAGGAATTTTCCCTGTCTGGAACCCAGAAGAGCTATTGCTGGTCAGTGTAGAGACCATAATGAGCTAGATGGGCTGTTGGTTGGACTTGATATAAGGCAGCTTCCTATTCAGCTCAGAATAGGCACACCGAAGTTAATGCACATGGCTTAGTTTCAGTAAAGTTAATGTGTCTACTCTGAGCAAGACTTGGCTGAATATTGCCCTGTGTCCCTATTCCATATGAAAAGTCTCAAAAGAGCAGCACTGACTTTGTGAGTCTGGGACCTAGCCTAGCTCTGCGTTTCCAGCACTTGCCATGTATGAAACACTCATTAAATTCTCACTGCTAAGAACACTCATTAAATTCTATCTATCCAGTAGTGTAAAACAGTGTTTTTATTGTCACATGAATTGTGGACCTCAGATCTTCAGCAATCATCGGCTTCGTGCATTTTAACTGCATGTTTGCCGATTTTATATCTGTAACTTGAGAAGACCAATCAAGAATCCTAAAGCCCATGACCCACTTGCAGGTCACAACCCACAGATTGGGAAATGCAGGTCTGAAAGAGACCTCCAGAATATCTGGGTCCCGTTGACTACTATGGCCGACAGATACAGTGGTACCTTGGGTTACATACGCTTCAGGTTACAGATGCTTCAGGTTACAGACTCCGCTAACCCAGAAATAGTACTTTGGGTTAAGAACTTTGCTTCAGGATGAGAACAGAAATCGCGCGGCGGCAGTGGGAGGCCCCATTAGCTAAAGTGGTATCTCAGGTTAAGAACAGTTTCAGGTTAAGAACGGACCTCCGAAACGAATTAAGTACGTAACCAGAGGTACCACTGTGCTGTATAAATAAATGTATCATGAACAACTTCAGTGCTGGTGGCTCCTGTAAGTAAGATAAGGAGCATGTTGATACCTTAGGCCAGAGGTAGCCAAGGTGGGAGTCTCCAGATGAACTCCAACTCTCCTAAGCCCCTGCCAGCAAGGCCAATGGTCAAGGGTGCTTTGGACCGAAACATTGGAAGGGCACCATGCGAAGCGGTCTGAAGGGCTAAGCAACATTACAGATGTTATAGTACAGTGGTACCTCGCAAGACGAATGCCTCGCAAGACGGAAAACTCGCAAGACGAAAGGGTTTTTGGTTTTTTGAGTTGCTTTGCAAGACGATTTTCCCTATGGGCTTGCTTCGCAAGACGGAAACGTCTTGCAAGTTTGTTTCCTTTTTCTTAACACCGTTAATACAGTTGCGACTTGACTTCGAGGAGCAACTCATAGCACGCGGTGTGGTAGCCTTTTCTGAGGTTTTTGAAGACTTTGGTGATTTTTGAAGCTTTTCCAAAACTTTTCCGAATCTGTGCTTCGCAAGACGAAAAAAATTGCAAGACGAAAAAACTCGCGGAACGAATTAATTTCGTCTTGCGAGGCACCACTGTATGGGAATTCTTGTCTCTCATGCCCAGATTGCTTGAGGCAGTGCCCCAGTTCATGTTTGTTTCCTTTCCCCCCCTATGTGTCTTTAGTCTTTCAAGTCAACAGCACAATTTTTATAACAGCTGGAAGTGGGCTAGAGTTACTGATTCTATTTATAAGTTAAAATTATGCTTTCAATAGCATCAGTTAAAATTTAGGGTATAATCCACATTAAAGTGTTTTGTTCAAAGACTTCTTAAAAATAGTAAACTTTCCTGGAAAATACTGGCGTAATTGATGGCAGACACACACAAACTATAGCCATGTGCTCTGTAATCTTAATTTTGTGAAACTCTAGCTGGAAAACCTGATATCAACTTCTTTTGGAATGCGTTTACTTACTCAGTTTTTATAGGATACTGTTGTATCATAAGCTTGACTTCCTGTAATTCTTCCATGGTTACTCATTTAAAAACAGTTCCCCTTCCTCCACCATAAATTTTCCATGTTAAACTCACAGTGTTACTGCAATATTACTTGGGGGGGGGGTTAAATTTCTAAAAGTGAGTAGTCACAAAGCAAGAGTGTTCTAGTGGTGACAGTTTCCTATAAAATTTAATAATGAAACGATCAACTTTTTGCAGTATGCCTTACTCATATACAACTTCCCAGCATAGTACATTCTGTCCTTATGTTCTTTGCTGAGACTCCGAAGGTCACAGTAATTGGGCTTGCAGTCAGATCAATCCTTTCTCATTGCCCTTTATCTGACAACTATAAAATGCAGGCACCATCAACTGGACGCATTTAAAGCAAGGAACCACAAGACATTGGTTTGGCGTTACTACAAAAAAGCCTTGCATTTCTATGTTCCCTCCCTCCCACACTTCTCCTTTCATATTCACTTCCAATTTAACCCACAGCAAAGGCTTCAAGCCACAGTTTGTCTGCTTTAGATTTAATTCATATTTACTCCCATGTATGTCTGGGAGAAAGCAGTGTCTGAGCACAGGGTGTGTTCATACAGTTTGCTGGATCTGTATCCTGCCTAGATTTCCTGCTAATTTATTGGCAGTAATAGTTTAACTCAACAGAGCAATATTCCACGGAGGTGTAATTGTTAACTGATGAGGAAGTAACAGTTCAAGTTGCAATTGCAATCTTCATTATTTTTTCCTTGTTCATTAGAACATCACAGCATTTTAAAGTATCAGCTCCTGCTCTTCAACCTTTTTCTTTCTCACATTGATCTCCTTCCTCCCTTTTCTCTGTTTCAGGGATACCTTTGCTTGCCATACATGGCGCTGCAACAACATCACCTCCTGTCTGATATAACCATTCGTGGGTTTGTTGCAGGAGCCACCAACATCCTTTTCCGTCAGCAAAAGCATCTAAGTGATGCTATTGTAGAGGTATGAATCATTTTCTTTTAAATCATAGGTGGGTAACTGAATGGCAGCTTTTTTAAAAAAAAAAAAGGGTTTTTTGTGTGTGTGTAAAATGTGGCATAAAAATAAGAGTACAGCTGGCAAAGGGTCATAAAGGTAAAGGGACCCGTGACTATTAGGTCCGACTCTGGGGTTGCGGCACTTATCTCGCTTTGCTGGCCGAGGGAGCCGGCGTACAGCTTCCGGGTCATGTGGCCAGCATGACTAAGCCGCTTCTGGCGAACCAGAGCAGCGCACAGAAACGCTGTTTACCTTCCCGCCGGAGTGGTACCTATTTATCTACTTGCACTTTGACATGCTTTCAAACTGTTAGGTTGGCAGGAGCAGGGACTGAGCAACGGGAGCTCACCCCGTCGCAGGGATTCGAACTGCCGACCTTCTGATCGGCAAGTCCTAGGCTCTGTGGTTTAACCCACAGTGCCACCCACATCCCTGGCAAAGGGTCATACTTCCTAACAAATACAATTGCTTAACTACTGAGTATATTCTACCCAACAGGAAGATTCTTCTTATCCCAAGTCCTATTTCGTCTCTTTATGGTAGGAGGGAAGCAGATCTTAAACATAATTTCCAGGACCGCATTTGGGCACTCTTCAAATACCCAGAGTAAAACCAATGGTTCTTTCCACTCATACAGAACTGTTCCAGAAAAGACTGCCTTGATGTCCAGTCTACAGACTGCAGCTCCCACATGGTAGTTGCTTGAAACAATCTTCCACAGCTTTTCCTTGTAAACACATGTTGACCTGCCCCATGGAGTGGCAACATTGCTTGGAGAACTTCCCTTCTATCTCCAGCAATCCAGTTGTAGAGTTGAAATAGACCCAGAGAGAGACTGTTCATCCCTGCCTCCCCAGAACAGGACCCGTACCCCAAATTCACTCTGTGGTCTATTCTATACCTCAGTTCATTACAAGGAAAAAGCTGATTGCTTGTTGTAGGGACTAAAGATGGTTGATCGGTGACTGGGTTATAAGAGTAGTGGACTCGTAATCTGGGGAACCGGGTTCGCTTCCCCGCTCCTCCACATGCAGCTGCTGGGTGACCTTGGGCTAGTCACACTTCTTTGAAGTCTCTCAGCCCCACTCACCTCACAGAGTGTTTGTTGTGGGGGAGGAAGGGAAAGGAGAATGTTAGCAGCTTTGAGACTCCTTTGGGTAGTGATAAAGCGGGATATCAAATCCAAACCCTTCTCCTTCTTTTCATGTTGGGTTTTTCTCAACAGATTGAGGAAGCTCTGGTTCAAGTCCATGATCCAGAGCTCAGGAAGGTTCTGAATCCCACAACAGCTGACTTGAGGTTTGCAGACTTCTTGGTAAAGCACGTAACTGAGAACCGGGACGATGTCTTCCTAGACGGCACTGGCTGGGAAGGAGGAGATGAGTGGATTCGAGCCCAGTTTGGCTCATATCTCCATGCGCTGCTCGCTGCTACTCTGCAGCCAGGTAAACCCTGGTGCCATTGCTTCCATTTTTTTATTTTTTAAAAAATCCTCTAAGATTATACTTAGCAGCTGTAACTAGGAAGAGTAAAAGGAAAGGACAAAGAAATACAGGGATCTGGGTCTGACCTGGCTAGTAACCGTATGGAAGCTCTGATGCTGTGTTAAAAAGAGGGACTTCTTCTCACAGGCTCATGCAGAGGTTGTCTGAGGCCCGAGAGTCTTGTCCATGAGACTTGCCGCCGCCTAATCTCAGTGGCGGGTCTTGGGGTCTCAAATATTAGCAGCACCCTGTGCAATGCCAGAATTTGCTGCCCCCTCGCCTCTCTCCTTCCATTCTACATCATAGTTGCAGTGCTCCTGGGGCTCCTCACTTAGTGCAACCAAACAGTCGCACGGCCCTAAATCTGCTTCTTAATCTGATCTAATGCTACATGCTAGCACACAATAATGCAGATCCAGGTTTTACTATCAAAGCGCTTGGCTCTGTCTAAAGGACTGTGTGATGAATTGGAGTGTTTTATATCAGATGCATGGGAAGAAATGGTCCCACCTCTCCAAATCCAGTTAAAATCCAGATTAGTTCCTTCTTAAAATTCTGTCTCTTTTCAAGCTGTTTCTTATATCTTAATCTTATATCTTATATCCCATCAATTTCACTAATGAAACCTTTTATTTCCAGTTGTTTATTTGCTTCCTGGCAGTTGCAGCTGCCACTCCGCACTGAGTGGGGAAGGATAGATTTGCCTGTTTGCCAGTTAGTCCCAAGTCCACACTCCTATTCTTGAATGCTAGCCCAGGTGCATGTTTATATATGAGGGTGGTGTCTTTCTTCTGTCTGCTGACACCATGCCATTGAAAAACAGCTGTGGAGGAGCTGTCTTTCAGTGACTTGGTATGTCATAGACCAGGGATGGCCAAACTTGGCCCTCTTGCTGTTTTGGGACTACAACTCCCATCAACCCTAGCCAACAGGACCAGTGATCAGGGATGATGGGAATTGTAGTCCCAAAACAGCTGGAGGGCCAATTTTGGCCATCACTGTCATAGACGTAATCAGGGATGACACCAGCCCTTCCACACCTGTATTTACAGTGATACACAACACATCAAGGGGGAAAACAAGAAAGGTTTTGCGGCTGTCAAACATGTGGAAATCCAGTCTGTTAGCCAGCACCATCCACTTTCTATTAGTTGCTGTATTGCATTGACAGTATTACTGTGCAGAAGATGCACACTGCCTTTTTAAAAATTAAAATGTGCTCGCTTCTTTGCATGCACACGCATAGCATGCAAAGTACTGAAACTGCTTAGGTTTCTCTTATCTATTTTATTCATCAGACAGTGAAAAAATATTATCAGACTTTGGAACAACCTTTGTAGCAGCTTGGAAGAATACACACAATTACAGAGTGTGGAACAGCAATAAACACCCAGCTCTCGCAGAGGTAAATCCCAGGTAAGAAATTTTAGCTTTAATGTTTGCATGGAAGAAGTAGAGAGAGGAGTGCTGTCGTCTTGAGCACCTGTGATTCCTAGGTCTGCCATTTAATTTCCAGGAAGCACAAGCAAGAATTCTCCGTTTGCTAGTAGTACCAGGCTTCGAAATTACAAACTTCTAGTTCTGGAACTCACTTTCCCCACATATCTTTCTCCTTGCTTGTGCTTCAGATGCTGCATGTTCTGCATTTCGCTTGCCTTGAACGCTGTTCCTTAGGTAAACAAAAATATGGTACTCTCTGCCTGCTTGCCTGGTGTAAGGTGGCCAAAATATGTCCTGTTTCTGAAGATCAGAACACAACACAGTTCAAGCAATTAGTGCTTCCAAGCCCCTAACAGCAGGATGTATCTGCACTCTTGATGTTGCTTTGACCATTTTATCTGAATGTAATTCCAACTGAACTTCTGAGGCTTTTAGCCAAGAATTTAATTTCTTCCATATCACTGCACTGTCACACCAACAAGTACTTACTTAAACAGTTGTTTGGAGGTGCAGAGGCCCTTGGCTCCTGGTTATGGCCACTGTCCCATAGAGTCAGAAGTAGGAGAGAAGACTGGAAGACATTGGAAGTGACTGTGGTGTAACTGAACAGCCACTTTAAAATGGAAGGCATTTCAGAGGAGCAGCAGGTTGTAACCCAGGGAAGAAATTCAGAGATGGATCAGTGCCAAATGTTTTGTCCACTGTACAGTCATTGGGGCTTCTGAGATCTCCCCCTATCCCCAGTGCAAACTGATCAGACCAGGAGTCAAGAAATGTTAATGTTTTCAGTCTAGTTAGAGAGGAATGGCTTATGGTTTCTGTTTTTATTGTTACAACACACACAACATTTTAAATCTGTGTTCTGTTTTTCTCTTCTCTTTTCTTCCACCTCCTTCCAAAACACTTTTCAGTCACCCGTTCCAAGGCCAATACTCGGTTTCAGATGTGAAATTAAGATTGTCACAGTAAGTACTATAACTGAATATGCTTTGGAAGGCTGGGATTTTTATAAATTGGCAAGCATAGTTTCATGTTAAACTGGGGTTTGGTATTCTGGCAGGCAATGACTGCTGCTGCACATTGCTCAAAAGCCCCCACTTCACTCATCCCTCCTGCCTGCCTGTGCCACACTTGTGCGAACACAGTACAGACTTTGTGTTCTGCGCAAAGCAGCACTTGATGGAATAGTTTGTTGACCATAATAAATTACATTTATTTTAATTGGGTCTGTAATCTTATGGCCCAGGACAAACCAACCAGATCCAGATGAATGCATTTTTCAACAACAAATTTTTTTTTTATATTCTGTTGACCATTGTGCTGTAATAATAATAATAATAATAATAATAATAATAATAATTTATTATTTGTACCCCGCCCATCTGGCTGGGTTTCCCTAGCCACTCTGGGCGGCTTCCAACAAAGATAAAAAATACACTGAAATTTCACATATTAAAAACTTCCCTGAACAGGGCTGCCTTCAGATGTCTTCTGAATGTCAGGTAGTTGTTTATCACTTTGACATCTGATGGGAGGGCGTTCCACAGGGCGGGCGCCACTACCGAGAAGGCCCTCTGCCTGGTTCCCTGTAACTTGGCTTCTCGCAGTGAGGGAACCGCCAGAAGGCCCTCGGTGCTGGACCTCAGTGTCTGGGTAGAACGATGGGGGTGGAGACGCTCCTTCAGGTATACTGGACCGAGGCCGTTTAGGGCTTTAAAGGTCAGCACCAACACTTTGAATTGTGCTCAGAAACGTACTGGGAGCCAATGTAGGTCTTTCAAGACCGGTGTTATATGGTCTCGGCGGCCGCTCCCAGTCACCAGTCTAGCTGCCGCATTCTGGATTAGTTGTAGTTTCCGGGTCACCTTCAAAGGTAGCCCCACATAGAGCGCATTGCTGTAGTCCAAGCGGGAGATAACCAGAGCATGCACCACTCTGGCGAGACAGGGTACAGGCAGGTAGGGTCTCAGCCTACGTACCAGATGGAGCTGATAAACAGCTGCCCTGGATACAGATTTGACCTGTGCCTCCATGGACAGCTGTGAGTCCAAAATGACTCCCAGGCTGCGCACCTGGTCCTTCAGGGGCACAGTTACCCCATTTAGGACCAGGGAATCCTCCACACCTGCCCGCCTCCTGTCCCCCAAAAACAGTACTTCTGTCTTGTCAGGATTCAACCTCAATCTGTAAAAAGAATTCTAATCCAGGTTAAGTACAGAAAATGGATGGTAAGATTTTACCTTTGAGGGGTCCTTGTATGGTTTGGGGATTGCTACTATCCTCAGTTGTTTCCAGATTGGTGGTGATAGGTCTCACTCAGAACGTCAATATATAGTTTGGTCATATGTGTAACCATCAGATTTAAATGCTTTATAAAATACTGTGGAGAACCTATTTGGGCCTGGGGTTTGCCTACCTTTTTTTTTAAAAAAAAAAAAAATCTCTTCTTCTATAATCAGCTCTTCCATAAGTTTTGCCTCTGCATCCCCCAAAGTTGGTTGTGTTATTGTGTCCAGAAATTTTTGTATCTCTTCTGAGTGGAGTGGACTTAGAACAGTACAGAGGAAAACTCCTTAAATCTTCACAAATTTTTAGTAGAAAATAATTTTCCCCGTTTTGGTCTTTGTACCTCTTAAAGTTGTTTTATTCCCCTGCCCCCCGTTTGCTAGTTTGTCTCTTCCCTCCAAATTCATAAAACTTTTGCTTTAAATATAGTAGTTGTATCATTGCTGTCTATATTTCTATGGTTTCTGATTCTTTCCATTTTTAAAGTGCCCTTTTTTGGTAGCTGAGTTGAGTTTTACAACTATGGTTTAACGGTATGTGCAAACTAGATCTTCATCCATGCTTACAATATTATAAAGAACCTTTATTATTGTCTGAGAGTTAGTGAACACAGGGCTTAATACCTGCCATATAAATCTAGTACCTTGCCCTAATAAAAGTACCTGCCTACTAGGTACTTTTTCTTTCTTTATTGCCAACTCCTTTGTTTAGTTTAATGATCAGTTTACATGCTTGGAAACAGTGAAAGTCAGTTGTATGATGCTATGACATTTTCCTCTCGTTTAGCTCTGTACAGAATAGTGAACGGGGCAAGAAGATTGGAAACGCCATGGTTACAACGAGCCGGAACGTTGTACAGACAGGAAGAGCCGTAGGTAAGATGCTTCACACTTGTATGCTACAAACAGAAACCTTAACTTCCACAGCCTGTTTCAAGAATCTTGTTGGTGGTATATATCTCCACCAACAGCACGCAAATGTTGCTACCTTCCATAAATGAAGGGATAGCTGGAAACTAGCTGAAGCTCTATGTATGGAGAAGTGAAACGGGAAACTTCATGCACAACACTCGTAGGATGTGTCATTTGGGGAGGTGAAACTTTATCGCATATTTCTTCAGTGAGGGGGTCTTAAAAATATGCTTTTGGGTGTGAGGAATTCAAATCTTACTATTTTTGTGATTGGACAACACCTAGCTTGGTAAAAACCACATAAACCAAAGGATTTTAATTTTACCTTCTGAAAATGTCAGGTAATGCTAAATAATAAGTAATACAGTGGTACCTCGGGTTAAGTACTTAATTCGTTTCGGAGGTCCGTACTTAAACTGAAACTGTTCTTAACCTGAAGCAGCACTTTAGCTAATGGGGCCTCCTGCTGGTGCCACGCCGCCGGAGCATGATTTCTGTTCTCATCCTGAAGCAAAGTTCTTAACCTGAAGCACTATTTCTGGGTTAGCAGAGTCTGTAACCGGAAGCGTATGTAACCCGAGGTACCACTGTATATAATATAAATGCAAGTACTTGGCAATCATTTTCAATGATTTCTATACAATTTTACACACACCTAACTTACCAAGCAGGGACGCGGGTGGCGCTGTGGGTAAAAGCCTCAGCGCCTAGGGCTTGCCGATCGAAAGGTCGGCGGTTCGAATCCCCGCGGCGGGGTGCGCTCCCGTCGTTCGGTCCCAGCGCCTGCCAACCTAGCAGTTCGAAAGCACCCCCGGGTGCAAGTAGATAAATAGGGACCGCTTACAAGCGGGAAGGTAAACGGCGTTTCCGTGTGCGGCTCTGGCTCGCCAGAGCAGCGATGTCACGCTGGCCACGTGACCCGGAAGTGTCTCCGGACAGCGCTGGCCCACGGCCTATAGAGTGAGATGGGCGCACAACCCTAGAGTCTGGCAAGACTAGCCCGTACGGGCAGGGGTACCTTTTTAACTTACCAAGCAGAACGAAATTATATTAACTTAATCAAAATATATTTGGGATTCCCAAGTCATGTTACATCTTTTTAGCACCCCTCATTTTTGGAATTTGAAAGCTGTAAGATTCCACATGCCTGTCATCTCAGCCATCGTTTGCTACTGCAATGAGGAGAGCCACCCCCCAGCCTTGCATACTCCTCAGCTCACTTTCCCCAACCCACCAATTCCAGAGATAGCTATGAGTGTTGCATACTTACACAGACCTATGCAGTGATCATCCCAAGCTTCGCCAGTCTGAACCAGCTTTAGAAACATTGTAGAGAATGCCAAAATAAGAGGCTGTCTTTTTGAGAAATCTGCTTTTTACACATAGATGTAAGTGCCCTTGCACTACAATCCCATATATACTTTTCAAGTCCTATTAAACTTAATGGGAATTACTTCTAAGTAAGCATCGTGCTATTAATTGCTCTCATCTTAGCCTTACCTTTGCCTAACCTTCCCCTCTTTTTGCTATAAAATCCAGGTCAGTCAGTCGGAGGAGCTCTCACGAGTGCAAAATCAGCCATGTCCTCATGGCTTTCTACTTTCACCCAGTCAACACAAAGCCTTGGGGAATAACTGTTCTGCAGCGGACCAAGCCCTTACATTCATTTTGAGAAAGAGACCTGTGGTTCTGCTTTAAAAAACACACCTATGAATTCGAGCAGCATGAGGATGAAGGAATGGCCTTTAAAGCTGCATCGCAGGATGTCATTGCAGTTTGCATTAATGCCTCTTTTTAAAAATCTGAGCCTTTGTAACAACAGTAACATACAAGTCTTGTTGTAAGACGGGCTTTATTTTTCATTGTGTGCTGTTCTTTGGATGTTGATAATGATTTATGTAAATTTTGTTGTATTAACTCCAGCTGTCTAGACTTTTTCTTGAAAAGAAGAAAGAGTGGGGCTGACTAGGTTTGGAACAGAAAACTGACCTCTCACTTCCACCCTCCCATACCAAATGCAGAAGTAAGATCTTTTCATTTCAGTGGAAACCAACTTGTGCAAAGGATTGCAGCCTAACGTTGCAACCTTTTGCACCTGCGGGTGGAACGAAATGAAACAAATACAGATTAAATGAGACGTTCACACCCAGTTTAACACTTAAAATGCCTAAATGACAGCTGATCTGAACAGCTGTTGGCAGTTTTGCACCAGCTCATTTCAACTTTCAGAAATCTAGCTGCTAGCACTTAGGTTTGAAAGAGTTTGTTTTTAAAGGTCATGGATAAAATGGAAGATACTGACTAAAATACACAGGTTTACCATATTTTTGTTACCTCTTTGGAATTAACACCCAAGATACCTCTTAGCAGAAAAACAACTCTTGCTCAGTAACTGCAATTTCCTCGTTTTCAAGTTGTGTGTGTGAATTTAGCTTTCATCTTTCACGTTCCCATTTGCTTGTGTTGTATCCAACAGTGGCTGTTCGAAAACTTTCACTAGTGAATACCTATAACCAAATACCTACCTCTCTGGCACAGTTAAGACTCCAAATGCAAGAGTCGGAAGTGCTTTTCCCCTTTCCTAGCTGCTTTTAGGGTTTCTAATTTAATGTGTAGGTTAGCAGACATTTGAGAAATGACTGTAACGAGATATTACTTGGCTTTCTGCCAGCGAGTTTTATGGATTGCAATATAGGCAGCCGTGAGATTGCCTTGGACTTTAAGTAAAGTAATTCATCTTAGTGTAGGACATTACAATATGAATGATTTACCAAAATACAGAATTCCAGGGCTTCCCTTAAATCATATTTTTGCTTACAACTGCCAGTTCAAGTCTGCTCCCCTTTCCTTCTTGGTTTTCTTCTCCAAACTGCAATGATTTAAATGGATGTGGAGTATAAAGTGTTAATTCAGGCGTACTGTAGCTAGACTGCTTTACTTCATATCCTTTTAGGGAACGGAATATTTATTAATGATGTAACATTCTGCACCAAAGTTGTCACAGCATACCCCAACCAGAATTCCTGTATTCTGGCCACATCTCAAAAAACCCAGTTTTCAGAGATGGCTATGGTTGCATTTCAAGAAAGATTTTCATATAAGCAGTTTGGGTTATTTCACCCAACTTTCCTGTAGATTAACTTCCCAAGAGAGAAGCATGTATACCACTGTGTGCAGCTGTTTTCACACCTGTTCCACATACGCATTATGAAAATTAATGACCAATTGTGGACTGCAACCAGTACACTGGTGTAATTTTCACACACCTGTGTATTTTTCATAGGTACTGTACAAGGGAGGTTGTTATGAAGTGGCAGGTGCCCTGCTATAATCCATGTATATAGTACTGATTGCAAGACACATCTTATGCTTTCAAGCTTACTCAGATATCTGAAATAATATAGCCAGCATAAAAAACCCTTGTATGTTTTCTTCTACACTACTTTGCTCGAATGAATGAGCCCATAAATTAGAGTTATAGTTTTCTAACCACAGAAGTTGACTGTGCTGCTAAAGAAAACATTTTACAAGGATGCTGTGGCTTGGAGATGTTACCCTTTTATTGAAAGTACAGAACTAGGCATGCCATGACAGTCATTACACTGCAGGCAAGCTGACACAGCTTGTAAACAGACTTTTTTTTCTTGGGAGTTCCTTGGTTGGAATTGTTACATCCAGTTGTTGGTTTTCATCCTTCCCTAAAGGGAGCACAAATTAGGAGGCATCCGACTAACACCTTTTGCCAATTAATCCACAGGCACCCTAACGAGGGATCAGCAAAATCCTTAGGGACAAGATGGTATGAAAAGCTGGTGATTCTTTTAAAATGTCTTCTCTTCTTTAGCGAGCGCTCGTAGTACATGACAATACGCTGTATAAGTGTTTATAGTAGCCATCATCTTGGAGTGACCAATTTATAATTATAATTTTGCTACAGGGGAAAATTTGGCAGTAGTTAATTGTACAAGTCAAATGCAGGAATAAACTGTAAAACCTATTGAAAATGATTGCTGTGTGTACTGCAGTAGTTACAATCACATAATTTGGATTCAGCAGGTAGTCTTAATATACACTGAAAAAACCGGCATAAGCACATAGTGTATTACAAATGTGTGGGGTCACATACATATCTTTGCAAAAGGGTATTGAAAGACTAAATTAGATGGAGGTCTGTAAGGGAAAATAATTCAAATTTAATATGAATAGCATGTTTTCTAGCCACTGATTTCAGTTTTGAGGTTTGAGTTTAATTTATTCTGGAAAACGTAAAAAGCAGTGCTGCTTGTATTATTGAAACATCACATGTTGCGCATTGAAGCACTCTTGCTTGAAGCTCTTCACATCAGGAAAGCACCAGCTAAAATGCAAGCACTGTCATTTACTCTAGTATTGTAGTGACAATTCTAGTGACTTAAGCCTTGCTGTTCCTATAATGCAGAGGTAGTCAATGTGGTACCCTCCAGATGTTGTTGGATTCACATTAGTATCAGCCAGCATGGCTAGTAGGAATGGTTATGAGCTCAGTATCATCTAGGGCACACTCATTGGCTACCCCTATTTTCAGTTGCATTCTTTAAGGGCCAGTTAGTACCGCATGCAAATTCTACCCGTAATAGGGCACACGATGTTGATGTGATCTAAAGCCAAATTACGAACGTGAAGTGCTTCAAATTCAAATAATACATGTGCTGTTCTATAGAAAATGGCAAGAGCGTGTTAAAGTAAAAAAAAAAAAAAACCCTTCCAAATGTAAAAGCATTGCCCAGCCCAAAGGAACACCCCCACCCCGAGTTATATCTAACAGTATGATCTTAATACTTGCTCCACAAGCAAGTAAATGTTCAGGATGCAACACCTTGACTGGTGCCAACATACTGCATAGTACAGTGCTTTATGGCTACTGAAAGAGTATTATGCTGGTGTTTGAACATTTTGTCCCACACAAGTGTTTAGAATCAGGCCGCTAACTTGGTATTTTGTAAGGCTGTTTTATGTGCTGGTGCTCCCTATTACAAACGTATATATTTGCATCATGCACAGTAGAGAAACTGATTTTTATATTTTTTTAAATGTTACAAGTATTTGGAAATGTGTATCATATTACAGTATGAAATAGACTAGAAATACCTCTATTCCAGTTTCTATATACCACTTAACAAATTAATATCAATCATTCAAGGCTGGTTTTGAGACATAAACCTGAAATCAGTTATCTAATCATGGTTTAAGTGAAATGAAACCTAAGTTTATTTCCATATGGTTTTTACTGCTACCAGCCTGTTGGAAGAGGAGGGTTGGTAAATATTAGGTATTTCATCTATCATCAATGTGTAAAAAATAGGTTACTATGTTCAAAAGACTATTAATGCTTCTGCTGTATATTTTGTTCTAAAGAAAATAAAGATTGTTCTTGTTTTGCTTGAATGTAACTTGTTTGGCACAAGGGTTTACTTGCAGTTTGAACTGCAAAAGCTTGAGACCTGCTCTCTCTCACAACCTAGACAGGGGAAGAGAAATAGAGGCAAGAAACACTTAACACGTGTGAACAGGCCCTCCCCGTTGCCAGCTATATCAGACTAATTTTGGTGGTTTAAAAATAGGTATTCATGTTTTAACTCTTTTCACTCATGACTTTCTCATACCAGATTGTTTTCAAGTGTGCTAAAATTATCTGCCTCATGCAAATCAGCAGCAGCTTTTAATTATATAGCCTTGATTTTCACCTGCTGCAGTCAAAATTACAGCTGACATTCTAAACACCAAACATGAATCCATAATGTTTTCTTCTTGTTAAAGTTGCCCAAGACATTCAGTTGACACTGAGCAAAATCTCAAAGAAACTGATCCATTCTAGACCACAGGTTAGGTGCACTGATATTACAGGAACAAAATCATCTTCATAAAAAATACAAACCAGTTATTTGTTTATCTTCACAAACTTGCAATCAATGTGATGATAATTTCCTCCAGTATTTCTTTCCTATACTGTTTTCTTCCAAGAAACCTATTGGCTAGTTAGTATTAGTTACAAATTTCTGAGTAATATTTCCTCCTGGTCTGTTAGAAAGGCAGATTTACAGTGGTACCTCGGAAGTCAAGCGGAATCCATTTCGGAAGTCCATTCGACTTCCAAAATGTTCGGAAACCAAGGCGCGGCTTCCGATTGGCCACAGCCAGTGGGACGTTTAGGTTCCAAAAAACGTTTGCAAACCAGAACACTCACTTCCGGGTTTGCGGCATTCGGAAGCCACAATGTTCCGACTCGCAAGGCGTTCAGGATCCAAGGTATGACTGTATTCAACTTAAGTTTAGAAGCAAATCCAACCTTATTTTAACAAGTTGGAAGTGGGATTTTTTTTTAATAGGTTAAATTTTTTTTACCAAAAACAATTGGCAGAAAAGTGCTGGACAAGAATCTTTCAGCTACTGAAAAGAACTACATAAGTTTTAACAATGGCCTGGTTCACACGTCATGCTAAGCCAAACCATAGCTTAGGGAGATGATTGTGGCCACTTCACTCCTCACCAGCTGTTTTGTGCCATGTTCAGCTAAGCTATGGTTTGTCTTAGCATGCTATCCAAACCTGAGCTTGTGGTTGGTTTGTTGTGGACAAAAGGTAATCAAGAACAAACCTTGGTTAGTTCATGGTTACTTCTGGAGTTAAACCTAGGTTTGTTCTTGGTCTCAGAACGGCACAGCAGCAAATGCAACGAGTGAGGCAGGCACCATCTCCCTGGAAGACCGCACACTCACATGTAGCCACTGTTTGGCTTAGCATGACGTGTGAACCAGCGATCAGAAAGCATGCATTTTAAATACAATTTTCAGCACCTTGCCTATGATTCCAAAGTGTAGTGAGTGCACTGTACAGCATCATCTGCCCCCTCTACACCTTGTGGCCCTCGGAGGAAAACAAACTTGTATACTGTAACTTACCTCTCTGGAGTATGTCAGAACACGAGGCACTTGCACTTCCTGTTGCATCTAATTTTCTGAGCCACCCAGTACCAGAATATTTTTTGACATTAAGAGTTTGAGGAAATATTCTTTTGACATTACAGTTTGAGGGAAGATACTGTCTTACAGAAAACGCAGGAAACAAGTCTTTGACTCAGGTTTTTTTTTTTAATAAATTAATATCATTCAAAATACAGTGCCAGAACATGATGCAGCTGAACATGCTAGTATGATCCATCATGAAGCACCTGTGCTCATGTAAGATTGGCGGCGCGCCGCTACTGCTAGTGGTTCCTGGGATTAATGCCAGAGCAGTACTACTGAACTGCTCTCCTGCACAGAGTATTCCTGAAAAAAAAATTGTCCCCCCCCCCAAAAAAAACCAAAAAACAAAAGAGAGACAACTAAGGGATATCTATACACAGTCACACTACAGTAATGCTTGTTATTAAATTAACAAAAATAAAAACCTGGTTAATCCACACTATATCTTGGTTAACATTGGGGCAGGGGGACATAAGCAGCAGGAAGTAATATGCATGAGCCATTGTTTCTGAAATACAGAATGTGGAACTGTTTACTGAGCAAAAGCTCCACACAGACCCGCACTAGGTAGGGCTGGCAATTCTTACTGCAAGCCCAGCAACGTAAGTTCACACCTGGCAAACTACCAGCTGCTCGGAAGACCTGTATTCTAAATAGACAGGTATAAGTTAGTGAAAATACATGCACCTAATAATAATATAATAATAATAATAATAATACAGCTTGACTGAGCCTGCAGTCATTTTGCCCTGCATGTCACCGTAAATTGGAAGATCTACCCTTCCTACCACAGGTAGATCCATGGGATTTGTTTCTCTCTTTACATGGCATTATTATACCAACACGGCTGTTGTGTAATAGGTGTAGCACATTCCATTAGGCCACACAATCTATAATAACTAGCACATACAAAGATTTCCAGAACTCACTCAAATATAACTGGAAGATACTTTGAGCAATTAACATACCATCCTAGAAATAGAAGCTGCTTTTGTGAAAGTTTCCTGAACTAAAAGTCTTCACAAGACTAAAAATTTAGACAATAAGCAGATGCTTTAAGCTTGCAATATACATACAGATCCCATCAGCTACCAGAGGGATTGTTTCAGATTATGGAAGCATATCTGCTTATAAATTCCACCGATTTACACTCAATGGCCACAAAATGTTAAATAGGGCATACATACAAGACAGCTTATTGTTTCATATTCCAGCCCTGTCCTCTCAAAGAGTTTTCAGCTTGACTCAAAGAGAGCCAGTGTGGTGTAGTGGTTAAGAGCAGTAGTCACGTAATCTGGGTAACCGGGTTCGCGTCCTCGCTCCTCCACATGCAGCTGCTGGGTGACCTTGGGCCAGTCACATTTCTTTGAAGTCTCTCAGCCCCACTCACCTCACAGAGTGTTTGTTGTGGGGGAGGAAGGGAGAGGAGAATGTTAGCCGCTTTGAGACTCCTGAAGGGGAGTGAAAAGGCGGGATATCAAATCCAAACTCTTCTTCTTCTTCTTCTTCATGATAACCAGTTATAGGCATGCAGTCTCTTATTTTGGGAGCTATACAGGTGGCAGTGTCAGCATCTCTCCATCAATCTCAAACTCATCAGCTCCATCTGGTGAAAAGAGATACGGTGGAGGCTTCCATGGGGATTCTTCAAGGCAAGATGGATATAGCTTTCCCACAGTGCACCGAAAGTCTTTCCCCAAATCCCAGAGCACCCGTTCAGATATATGCTGGCGCAAGAACCACCGGTCAAGTTCCATATCATACTGGTAGGTGGCATACTTTGCTCTCTCATTCATGTGGGTTTCTCGTATGAAGACACATAAGGAGTTGGAAATTACAACAGCTCTGACACAGGGGTCAGAATATCGTTTGGCAGGGATGTTGGCTGCCATTCGCCATTCATTTTTATTCACATCATAAACTTCCACAGTAACGGAAGACCCATCTACAGTGCTAGTAGGGAGTCTTATACCAGAGTTGCTGCCAACGTGCAAGCCTCCGATATAAAATATCTTATCCCCAAAAGCAGCAGCCGAAGCAAAGCATCTACTAGTTTGTCTCATAGCCATTTCAACCCAAGCATCTGACCTGGGGAAGTAACAGTACATCAGGTTGTGTGCCATTACATAAATGCAGTTATGAACAGCAACAGCTGTACTCCATTGCCACGCACAGGGAAGTGGGCTTACCATTGTCCATTCATCTCTCTCGGTATCATACCTTTCAACAGTTCTCCTGTTGAGCTCTCCACCTACACTGTCTCCTCCAATTGCATAGATGTGGCCTTCACAGCAAACTAGGGATGGCTTTATACGAACAAACAGCATTGGACTCTTTGGAAACCAAGTGTTTTGTTGGGCATCAAACCAGTAAAAGCAATTCACAGTTCGGAAGGCAACCTGAAGTCTGCTAGTTTTACTGTGGTTAGTTTTTGCATTTTTCAATGGGATCTGCCCCCCTGCTATATAAATATCATTATCAGGAGTTACAAGCGTCCCAACCTTATGCAAGTCAGCAGGAGGGCTGCAGAGCTTGTAAACTTTTTCAGCCTGTGGGCTGTAGCAAACTGAAGAGTAAAGACCACCAGGGTTTTCAGAAGCAGCTTCAATGAAGATCATCATTTCCTCTTTAGTCATTCCAAGTCTTGGTTTAAAAAACTTCGGCATAGATTTATATAATCCTTGAACCACTACCGATTTATCATTCGGCGGTAAGCCTTGAAACCAAGCTCTTTGTGTAACTTCAGAAAGTGCATCAATTCTTATTTGGCTAAGAACAGATGACAAATACTGTGATCGAGATTCTGTGTTGTATTCCAGCCATAACATAGCAGCTTCACGAACGGTTTCCTCCTTTTCCACATTTAAGTTGTCACTACTCAAAATATCTATCAACAGATCATGTGAGAGCTGCATGAAAGCCTCCTGGTGGCATACAGCTGTGAACTTGTGTTCTACCATTCTTTTAGCACTCTGTTTTAACTCCTCACAGCTGAAAAGATCAGCGAAGCTCAACAGCCGCACACAGTTCTCTGCATTTATTTTTTTAATTAAGTATTCTCTGCAACGCTGTAACACATCTTCTACCTGCAATAAAAAACAATGCAATGCTTACATTAACTTCATATTTAAGGTCAACAGAAAAGAAAAAGAAACAGGAAAAGAAACAAATTTCCCTAGATTTCTATAAAAGCAACCTCTCCTTAACTTATTCTATGTTTAAGATAATATTTTATTCTCTTGCCATTTATGGTGTTTTAAATGTGTATTCTATACTTCACCTTCCTTTGTAATGTCTTATTTTGAAATCTTTAAGAAAATATTTGAGTTTCCTGTTAATTACATTGCTTTGACTGTATATTTTGCATTTGAGCTTCTTTTGTAATGCTTTATAGAGTAATACTTTATTTGATGTTTTAATGTAGGTTGAAAACTGATTTGAGATTTTTTCTTATATTTTAAGCAGTATAGAAATGAAATGAAATGAATAAACAACTTCTACTGAACAAAGGTGAAGGGATCATTTACAGAATGTGCCTAAACATACTGGCTACAACATACCATTGTTCACAAAAAGGAAAGGAAGGGGAAAAGTGCCTCAGTTCATCTGCAAAGGCCAAAGTCTATGGGTTACTGAAGAAACTGACCATCTTTCAGTGATCAGGGGTCTTCCCTATTTATCTCTGTAGATAATAGGGAGAGAGGTTTTCCCTATTGCTGCTCAAATTGTTACATACCTCAAAACAAAAAAAAATCCCTGCTTTCCCACCTCACTAGGTATCAGACAGCTCCAATCTCTGCAGGGATGGCAGTGAACAGAAAAAGCTGAATCAAACCTGCTAGTTCACTGGCTAATACAGTCATTCTACTGTTAGCTGTAAACATCAGTCTCCAAAGAATTTCAGGTAGTAATGATGTCCATAACAAGGCAACAGATGCAAATCTGGGAGGTTCCACTTCCTTTTACTGCACTACTGCCCCTTATCCTAGAACGTTGCAATGAATTCAAGTACCTCTAGATCATCACTCCCTTTCTAAGTTTCCTCAGTCTCTTGTTGTTGTTTAGTCATTTAGTCATGCCCGACTCTTATCTCTTGAGGTAATCATATAAAAACTTTTCCCTGTGTGCCTCCTACAAGAGATGTTTGTAGTAGTGCTTCAGTTGTACAATGCTCTCCCTAGGGAAGTTCACCAATATCTCTTCTGTGTCGTGCTAAGACATTATTTTATTATCCCAGGCATGTGGGTCTTAAGTTAGTGTCCTTAGGTATGTATCTGGCCATTAGTGGGAGGGATATTTCTGTTTTAAAATGGCTTCTATGGCTGAACACTTTTAATGTGTATCATTATTTTTAATTGGTCTGTTATATATTGTATTTTGGTTGTAAAGAGAACAACAAATTAAATATATAAAATTAATTATACTGCAAATTCCCTTTCGAAAGCTCATGACAGTGCATGGCTCCCTGAAATCATGAGTAGCTAAACTTTTGTGGCCTGGGGGGGTCCATTCACCATTGGCCACCCTCTGAACGTGGCACCCATGCAGGACAATAGAGGAGTAGGGCTATTGTTTCCCCTCTGCTCAAATGATCAATCCTATGACCAATCAGGGTTTGATCTGCACCCCTATCTGCACACTGGGCTCCACCCAGTGCAGCACTGCTTAGTTTGTCATTACCAAAAATCAGTAGTCTTAAGGGGCCAAAAAAAAATGCTTAGGGGGCCACATTAGGCTCTCAAATTGAGGGTTAGCTATCCTTGCCCTATAGCAATACATCAATTTTACATCTTAATTCTAGAAGCATGTACCCGTATTTTTCGCACCATAGGGCGCACCGGACCATAGGGCGCACCCAGTTTTTTTGGGGGGGAAATAAAGGGAAAAAAATTATTTTTCCCCCAGGCGCGGGGCTGGGGCGGGGGAAGCTCGAGCTTCCCCCGACCCCAGCCCCCAAACAGGCAGCTCTCTGCAAGCCGTGGGAGCGCTCCCACTGCTTGCTGAGAGGTGCGCGAAGCCTGGACGTGCTGAGCTGAGCACGCGCAGGCAAGTCTCCGCCGACCCCTCACGCTCTCCAGGCTTCGCATACCTCTCCGCAAGCAGTGGGAGCGCTCTCGCTGCTTGCGGAGAGGTCCGCGAAGCCTGGACGCGCTGAGCTCAGCGCGCGCAGGCTTCAGCATGCAGGCAACTCTCCGCAAGCAGCGGGAGCGCTCCCGCTGCTTGCGGAGAGGTCCGCAAAGCCTGGACGCGCTGAGCTCAGTGCGCGCAGGCTTCAGCATGCAGGCAAGTCTCCGCAAGCAGCGGGAGCGCTCCCGCTGCTTGCGGAGAGGTCCGCAAAGCCTGGACGCGCTGAGCTCAGTGCGCGCAGGCTTCAGCATGCAGGCAAGTCTCCGCAAGCAGCGGGAGCGCTCCCGCTGCTTGCGGAGAGGTATGCGAAGCCTGGAGAGCGTGAGGGGTCGGTGCGCACCGACCCCTCTCACTCTCCAGGCTTCAGCGAAAGCCTGCATTCGCACCATAGGACACACACACATTTCCCCTTCATTTTTGGAAAAAGTGCGTCCTATGGTGCGAAAAATACAGTAATTGAGAGCAAACTCATTTGAACCAAATAGAAATATACTGTAATTAGTTTATAGTAGCACTATTAGGGCAGAAAATGCAAATACTTCCATGACAGTTTCTGTTAAATGTAAAAGAAAATAAAAAGTTAAATATTCAGAAAGATACCTTTTTTAAAGTGTCTTAGAAAAGTTAGCATATAACATTCCTACCTGTAAGAAGCAAGCCGTTTCATAAAGCTGTTCGACTGTAGTGTCACTTATTGCCAAATTACCCGTGTATGCGTAAATTATTATGATTTGCAAAGTGGCTGCATCCACATTCCTTAGATGGACATGCGTTTGCTTGCTTTCACTCAACCCACTCATAAACATAGCCCTGAAAGATAAAACAAAATACATTAACTTCAAACTTCTATCTTACTTTCTCCAACTCTTTGAAGCCTGGAGCTGGATAAAATTCCGTACATATAAGAGCATTCAAAACTATTAAATGGTTCACAAAGGCTGCATTCCAAAGGTTGGGATTTCACACTATTTACATCCAGTTTCATGGAGAAGCTACTGTCCAGTTTGTGTGCAAGTGGACTCCCTGATCTTACTGAGGTACAAATCAGTTTAGAAAACATATTAATAAATGCTATATATCAACTTCCTCTGTGTTTAGGTTACATTAAGCAGATATACCATCTTTTCAGTGTATAAGACTGTTTTTAGCCAAATTTGCTTTTTAAAAAAGTAGACAAAAATGGGTGGTCATCTTATACGCAGGGGTGTATACACAGGGGTTTGGGTTTGGACTCTGGTGCAGGCAGCCTGGGCCTGGGTTCAGGCTCTGGTGGGGGCAACCCGGGCTCAGGTGGTCTAGGCTCTGGCGACACAGGCTTAGATTTCTTAATTTTGGGTTCAAAAAAATAGGGGTCGTCTTATACATGGAAAAATATGGTATGTAATCTCTCCCATAAGAGCAATGCTGAATGAAATCCAACTATTCTGCCCTTCTTTAAAGTATAAAAACAGTTATTACTTTCGAAATCTCCTATTTAGAACAACTGTCAATGGTCAAAAAAATTTTTGGGTCAAACACATTCTGACATCAGTCAATGGCTTGTAGTAAGCACCAGAACACTTGGTCGTACATACACAAAATTGCAGATATCTGTAGTTAAAACTAGTTTCATTTGAGTATTTCACACTCATCTGCAACTTTCTAGTAATTTTAACTTCATCTTTCATGCAGTCACCAGAGACACACTGGCATAAAATTTAAGTTAGTTCGATGTTCGTATTCCTTGAGTACTTGCATGTTAATGGTGTGAAAATCATTTTGTTTTGGGCATGTTTCAAGTTTTCAAAAGGTCTGGAATTGCCAGTATGTCTTGGTACACATAGCACAATTGAAAACCAAGAGGAGCCACTGATACTGTGCTTTTACTTCATTTCATTAATACTCACTGAGATATCAACCATACCAGAAGTTTCAAATACACAATGGAACAAAGCACATGGAAAATGCAGCATGTCCCAACATCTTCTACAATATGTATAAGATATTTTTATTTATAAAGATATTAGTTGCACAAGTTATTTTGCTGTTGTACAATAAACATCACAGCAGATATTGAGCCAGAACTCTGGGCATATTCCCCATGGTCAATTTGCACTCGAGCTTGCTTAATTCTTCTAGATTAGTGGTAGCCAGTGCGATGCTTTCTGTAAATTATGGACTACATACACATGGCAAATTGTAAACAATGACTGATGGAAGTTGCAGTCCACAACAGCTGGAGGGCCCCACTGGCTACTCCTATAAGTAGAATTCACTCTTCTCCCTAACCTGCCATGGAATAGTGGAATCATGGAATAGTGGAATCATGCTCTTATTTCATGCGAGTATTCTATTTCCATGCCTCCTTATTTCCTAACACACAACAGAGGATTGGGATTTTGCATGCATGTGCACACACACACACACACACTTTAGATCTGTTCACAATCAACTCTAGGGCAAGAGGGGCAGTTGTCTCTCTTCCCCCGCTCAAAAAAGAAAAAAACTTTGCAAACCTCAAAACTAAAAAGAAGAAAAACCTCCTTCTGTGAAATTGAGCTGGAGGCATTTCAGACCTTGTTTTCATTAACCAAGCTTCCCTCCATAACGCAAATGTCATGTTTGGCACTCAAACATCACTCTTACAATAGATATTCCACACTTTGTGAAGCCATCAAAGTAGTTGTACACCCCCGTTTAGCTATTCCACATCCACAACTCCATTCACTTCAAATTACCCAGTAGAACCATTTTAAAATTATATTATATACTGTAGTCTTAGACATAAGAGATGAACAGAATACATTTTAATGGAAGAAATAACACTACTTTAATCACATACCTGAAGTAAGAGCTGCATGTAGCGAGAACCATCTTATGGCATGGGAATTCAGTGCCCTCAACAATTAAAACAATGTCAGTTAGCAACTGCTGTTCATAGAACAACTTTAACTGCTCCAGTAAGGATACAGCATATTCCGTATTGATCTGCCTTTCTTCCTGGGTAGACATGATTGCATTCCATTAATATTTCCAGAAACAGGTTATAGAAGCCACTTTACTTCAGCAGGAAAGAGGTCAAGCAACCATTTTTTGAAGAACTCAGAAGAAACTACAAGGGATATTTTGAATCCTTTGCTAACTTTATTAAGACATTCAGCAATGATAGATTGGACTGTTGAATCAATACTTCAGATGGCAACCCACTCCTTGGATGCAATAAACTGACTTGGTGTCCATCCGTTCGCCTGAGACTTTCAAGAACGACCGCCAAGTTCCTGTTCAGATTTCCAGTGATGCAGTTCATGGGCAAACGAATGCAATTTGTGAGGTAGATTTTCTTGAACCATCTCTCAATCACTTGTGACTAGAAGAGGAAAAAAATCATGTCAGCAATTTTTCTAAGCCTGTTCTACCATTGTTCTGCCTAGAACACTGTTTGGTATGCTACTTTAAACCATAAAGTTGCTGTTATGAAGGCCATTCATAAATGCAAAGACTAACAGTGAAGAACACATTTGATGCCTTCTCAACTCTTCTGATGATTTAAGAATACCCAGAACTAAAATGAAGCATTGGATAGGCGTAGCAGCGTAGAAATGTTATTAAACCCATCTATTGTGGTCCTAACTGGTCCTCCCTCTCCTAGCATTGGCAATGTCTCCTTAATAATTGCAATAATGGATCAAGTTTTTGTCTCTCTTCACAATTTTTAACATGGCCACAAATGTCATTGGACTCTAGATCTTATCTATACCACAGAAGCTTTGTGATCTCTGTGACACAGTAAACATTTCTCTAATGCTTTTTAGGCTAGTTGAGAGGTACCACCTAATTTCACATATTTAACATTATTTGAGACAGATTTCAATCAAGATGAAACTACATCTGCAATGTCACATTCAAGTATTTTAGTTTACGCACGTGGCAATCCTACAGAGGGGGCTACGACCACTTCCTATGCCCTACTGGCTCATTACTGTCAGACTACCTTTTTCCATTCTTTTTGACACCCACAACCAGGCGTCATGTGGAGAATAGCTTTCCTATCCCAGTTTCTAACACTGGTGGAGACAGAAAGGGTGGCCCATGTTTTTGCACTGGGTAATAGAGATGCTATGAGAATCACAGCAGCCTATCCTAGCTGTCCTCTCTGGTTCAAGTTCACTCCAACTGTGGGGGAGATCACCACCCAGTGTTCAAAACTCCCATTGTTCTAGGCGCATTTTGCGACAGGGAATTTCATTAGTGCAAACAGTTTCTGAGCTCTGGGCGCAGTACTATGCCGAAGATTTCAGATTAAAACTGCAGAGTGGAAGGAAAAGGAGACCTTTTTTGCCTCCCCACTTCCAGCTACTCTCTGAAGATTGGAGAAAAGACCCTCTTAAGAATATTAGGGGGGTGAGCAGGGAAAGGACTATACTATGTGAAAAATGGATATAATATTTTAGCTGCAGTTCATTCAGTTTCAGCTTTGTATTCTTGTTATAAAAAAGTGTGCCTAGACATTCAGTTGTTGTGCCCATAACCTAGGTTTAAGGTGCCATTTAGCTCCTGGCTTTTCATATCTCAGTTTCTAACACTGCCACCACTGCTGAGAAAGTGGGGCTCACTGTCACAGCAAGCCACTTTCCAATTCAAGGGTAGTGAGCAGCTGGTTCTTAGCCTGTTCCCAATCAAGATTAACGTTTCCCTATTAAACACCAGCAAGGTCACCATAACTTGAAAGCTAAATGCTTTCAACCTTTGCTTATACAGTGGTACCTCGGGTTAAGTACCTAATTTGTTCCGGAGGTCCGTTCTTAACCTGAAACTGTTCTTAACCTGAAGCACCACTTTAGCTAATGGGGCTTCCTGCTGCCACCGTGCTGCTGGAGCAAGATCTCATCCTGAGGCAGAGTTCTTAACCCGAGGTACTATTTCTGGGTTAGTGGAGTCTGTAACCTGAAGCGTATGTAACCCGAAGTACCACTGTACTGTTTGTTTTCTAGCAGTGATGTGGAGAAGAAAAAATTCCTTTTTTTTTTGAAATTTTTTTTATTAGTTTTACAAGATTTTAAGAACAAACAAACACTTAAAAAGACATACAAACACGTATAATTTCATAATGTTTTTCATAAACCTCTTTTCTGAGACTCCCCCATACCCCCCCCTTTCTGCATCCCAATGTCCATAGTTTTATAGCAACTCCCAATTGTTACTTTCCAACCTCTGTCCTTAGTTATCTCTGTAATCTGACCTTATATCACTGTATCCCTTTGTTCCTGAAAACCATAACACTCTAACATTCATCAAGTTTATAATAGTCCTTAAGATAACTTTTGAATTTTCTCCATTCTTCTTCCACCGTCTCTTTTCCTTGGTCACGGATTCTGCCTGTCATCTCGGCCAGTGTCATATAGTCCATCACTTTCATCTGCCATTCTTCCAGAGTGGGTAGATCTTGTGTCTTCCAATACTTTGCGATAAGTATTCTTGCTGCTGTTGTAGCATACATAAAAAAAGTTCTATCCCTCTTTGACACCAATTGGCCGACAATGCCCAAGAGAAAGGCCTCTGGTTTTTTAGGGAAAGTACTTTTAAGTACCTTTTTCATTTCATTATAGATCATTTCCCAGAAAGCCTTAATCTTCGGGCATGTCCACCAAAGGTGATAGAAGGTACCTTCAGTCTCTTTACATTTCCAACATTTGTTATCGGGCAAATGATAAATTTTTGCCAGCTTGACTGGGGTCATGTACCACCTATAAACCATTTTCATAATGTTTTCCTTTAAGGCATTACATGCCGTGAATTTAATACCGGTGTTCCATAACCATTCCCAGTCAGCTGACATAATGTTATGGCCCACATCCTGTGCCCACTTAATCATAGCCGATTTGACTGTTTCATCCTGTGTATTCCATTTCAGCAACAAGTTATACATTCTTGATAAATTCTTAGTATTGGGTTCTAACAGTTCAGTCTCTAGTTTTGATTTTTCCACCTGAAAGCCAATTTTCCTGTCCTGTTTGAAAAACTCCATTATTTGGTGATATTGAAGCCAATTTTGTACTTTATGTTTCAATTTCTCATAACTTTGTAATTTCCACTTATCTCCATCCTGTTCCAAGATTTCCCAATACTTCGGCCATCCGACCTCCATATTGAGTTTCTTCACTGCTTTAGCCTCCACTGGTGACACCCATCTAGGGGTTTTGTTTTCCAACAGATCTTTATATCTTATCCATACATTAAACAATGCTTTTCTAACAATGTGATTTTTAAAGGCACTATGCAGCTTGATTTTGTCATACCATAGATATGCATGCCAACCGAAAACATTGTTAAAACCTTCCAGATCCAAAATGTCTGTGTTCTCGAGGAGCATCCATTCTTTCAGCCAGCAAAAAGCTGCTGCCTCATAGTACAATTTTAAGTCCGGCAGGGCAAAACCCCCTCTTTCTTTAGCGTCTGTCAATATTTTAAATTTGATTCTGGGCTTTTTGCCCTGCCAGACAAATTTCGAAATATCTTTCTGCCACCTCTTAAAGCATTCCATCTTGTCAAGAATCTGCAAGGTCTGAAACAAAAATAACATTCTAGGCAATACATTCATTTTAATCACTGCAATTCGGCCTAACATTGACAATTTCAAATTTGACCATATTTCTAGATCTTTTTTGATCTCTGACCAACATTTTTCATAATTATCCTTATACAAATTCACATTTTTAGATGTCAAATAAACCCCTAGGTATTTCACCTTCTTAACCACCGTCAACCCTGTCTCCTCTTGGAATTTCTCCTTTTCCATATCTGTTAAATTTTTTCCTAAGACTTTGGTTTTTTGTTTATTCAACTTAAATCCAGCTACCTGGCCAAACTGTTGGATTATTTCTAGAACCTTTTTCGTACTAGTGTTTGGCTCTTGCAAAGTCAATACTAGGTCATCTGCAAATGCTCTTAACTTATAATGTTTAGCTCCGACCTGCACTCCTTTAACCTGCTGGTCATTCCTAATCATATTCAGCAACACCTCCAGAACTGAAATGAAAAGTAATGGGGAAATTGGGCACCCCTGTCGTGTTCCTTTTTCTATCTTAAGCTCCTCAGTTATCACATTATTTACAATCAATTTAGCTTTTTGTTCAGAATATATTGCAGCCATGCCGTTCTCAAAGCCTTGTCCTACCCCCATCCCATGAAGATTCTTTGTCATAAAGCTCCAAGAAATATTGTCAAAGGCTTTCTCCGCGTCCACAAAAATCAGTACTGCTTTAGTATTTATATTCACCTCTAGCTTTTCCAAAATATCTATTATATTCCTTACATTGTCTGCTAGGTGTCTTTTTGGGAGAAAGCCTGCTTGATTCTTGTGAATCTTTTCCATCAACACTTTTTTAAATCTTTTTGCCAAAATGTCTGCAAAAATTTTGTAATCCACATTAAGTAGTGATATTGGGCGGTAGTTCTTCAGTTGAGTCTTTTCAGTCTCTGTCTTTGGTATGAGTGAAATGTATGCTTCTTTCCACGATTCAGGTGCCTTTTTTCCCTCAAGAATCTCATTACAGACTTCTTTTAGTGGTTGGGTCAACCATTCCTTCAAGGATTTGTAGTATCTAGAAGTCAATCCATCTGGTCCTGGAGATTTGCCCAATTGCATATTCTGAATGGCATCCTCTATCTCTTGTTCTGTTATTCTCTGGTTCAGATCCATCTTACTTTGATGAGAGATTTTTTGTAATCCATATTTATCAAGGAATTTGTCTATATCTTCTTCATTTTGCGGGCCTTGGGTATAAAGTTTTTTAAAATAACTCAAGAAGCAATTTCTAATTTCATTAGGTTTAGATATATTCTTTCCATCCACTTCTAGACTTGTAACTGTATTTAATTTCTGCCTTTTCTTCAATTGCCATGCCAGAAGTTTGCCACATTTATTTGCTGATTCAAACGTCTTTTGTTTCATTTGCTTTATCTTCCATTCAATCTCTTGGTTCATCAATTCCATATATTGTGTTTGATATAACTTAATCTCTCTTAAGATCTCCTGGGACTTTGGTTTTACTCTTAATTTTTTCTCTCCTTCCTTTATCTTTTCCAAAATCTTTTCTTTTTTCTCATTTTGTTTTTTCCTCTTTATTGAATTTTGTTGAATCAAGAAACCTCGCATCACCGCTTTGCTTGCGTCCCAGATCACTCTTTTCTCCACATCAGTCCTCAAATTTATTTCAAAATAGTCTTTTAAGGTTTTTTGGGCCTTCATAAGAATCTCCTTATCTCGAAAGAGGGTGTCATTCATTCTCCATCTAAATTGACCAGTTGTTGTGAATTTCATTTCCATCTTCACAGCGTTATGGTCGGAGCAAGTTTTTGGGCAGATTT